AAAAAGTTTTGGTAATCGGTGTTACTTGGCGGTCGGTAGAGGCAGCAGATAAACTTGGTCGATGACTTTGAGGTGAATTTTAGCCATATGATATCAAGGTTCGCTGGTTCTAGCTTCTCCTCTCGATGACATGAAAGGTCATTTTTAATGTACACACAGATCCCAAAATTATGTCGAAATCGGTGGTGTAGGTCATAGCCGGGATAAAGATAGTTCACAATAGGTGTTGCAGAACTGATTTTAGTTTCAATGAATTTAAAATCATGAAGAAGATGAAGTTTGTCCAGCAAATTCAGTGGATCAAATTTCGATTACCAGTAGCTTAAAAAAAAAAAAAAAAAAAACGTTTCAAGTGAATTAAAAACGGCCTAAGTAGACCCTACCAAAATTTTATAAAATTCGAAAAAGTAACAATGAAGTAATAAGCATTTCAAGTTTTCATACAAATCCTCGATTATCTCAAAACTTGATTTTGTTAGATAGGCCTTTTTTCGACCAAACCACAGAATTGTGTTAAATAATGTCCTTAAAGCTGCTGGAAGAGCAAAGTCAGCAGAACACGCAGAACATTATTTGAAAAATGCACAAATCATAATGATATCTAAATTGAAATGTTCATATAATTAAATGGACTAATTAGAAATTTTATGTTCCTTAAAAAAAAATGTTCTCCCAGCTTTATGATAATATCTTTATAAACGTATTGTGCGTTTTCCAAGTCATGTTTGCTAACTCTATCTTAAGCTGCTAGAACATGAGTTTTTTTTTAAGGAACGTAAAATTTCCAATTACTACATATAATTATATGAACATTTCAAAGCATCATTATGATTTGTGCATTTTCAAAGTCATGTGGTGCTAACTTCATCTAAAGTTGGCAGAATATCAAGTTTTTTTTAAAAAAAAAAAGAAACATAAAATTTCTAATTAGTCAATTTAACTACCATTTAATTATATGTATCAACATTTCAATGTAGATATCATGGTGATTTGTGCATTTTTGAAGTCATGTTCTGCTAACTTTGTCTGAAGCTGTCGAAACATGTCGTTTTTTTTTAAGGAAAAACTGAGCATTGAATTTTCAATTAGTGCATTTAACTACAGTATAATTGCATTTGTGTCTGCTTGCTCACCTTGCACTTCCAGCTTTGGGGGCATTGTTAAATATGCATATAAATGTTATTTTATGTTAGTATACTTATTGTTGCAATTTGATAATAATATCTAGTTTAGAGGAGATCAATTTATGGGATTACCTTGGGAATTACCTATTAAAAAACAAATTGTATTGTCTACATCTTAAGTTTACCTCACCTAGAATAATGTGATCCCTAATAATCAAAAATGGCTCTTTATATTTTATCCTGTATTTTATGCTGTTTGTGGCAAAACATCAAAGATTGTACTGACACTACTGACCTTTTAGTGTGTAAATAGATTGTGCATGTTAAAGGTTTCCAACATACTTTTATAATATTAATGGTGGATATACTGGATAGATTGTAAATTTTGTCTTTATTGTAAAGAATTCAGCTCTTTGTTGTTACTACAACCTCAAAAATATAAAGTCTCAATTTTTGTGTGTTTTCTAAAATATGGCAACAACATTTTTGTTTAAAATATTGGAAACCATTAAATATTTTTGAAAGGGCTTAAAATTGGATTGCTATATTTGCTGTAAAAAAATCAATTATTGGTGATGCTTGAATCAATGATCAAGCCCAGTTATTTTGAGTTATTTCGTATTTATTGTGATTTGTTTTTAATTGGTTTGAATTTCGAGGAATAGCAACTATTCCGAGGACTCGCACGGATTTGGAAAATGGTTTTATTTTTTTTCTCTAATGTAGCACTGAAACATGAGAAGGATTGTAGTAAGCCTGTTTGCTATATTCTGAGCTAAATTCCAACCACTCTAGTATTTTGGTGCCCTTTTACTGGATGGCGTTTCATTATTATTTCCAGGACTACGTTTGGTTGCCCAAAAATGCTGTGTCTTTTACGATCCAATGCGTAGCAGTTTACCAGGATGTTTCTGGCTGTCTCGGGTTCCTTAATTGAGGGTCTGCAGTTAAGATCTCCGTCATACAGGTTCATCCTGTTCAGGTATACCTTTACCGGTGTGTGGCCTGTCATAAGGCCCGTTATAGTCCTTAGTCGGTTCCTACTCATTTGTAGCAGTTTTGCGGCCCTTTTTCAGCATGGTTGGTCGATGAACTTCTTACCATGATCCTGCCTGGAAGTTGTCCAGCAGTGTCGATGTTCTTTGCGAACCCAGTCAGTCTTTGATCTAGTTTCTGGTCATACTTTCTGTCAGCTTTTTTGTTGCCTTCGATTCCTCTGTATCCTGGCGCCCACCCAAGTAACATGGAATGCTTTTATTGGGGTTTCCAAGGTCGCTTCAAAACTATACAATAAAATTTTGAATAAAACCATAAGATCTTCAAGATAGGCTTAGGACCACGATAAACCAGCTTCTAGCCAAAAAAGGCCCATCCTAAAAGGGTCTTCAAGACTAAATTTTGAAACTATAAGAATATAAAATTCAAACCATCCAGTTTTAATTTTATATTCTTAAGAAGTTCTTCAAGGCAACTTTAAATGTATATATTAAAACTTTTTAACTGTCGTTTTGCATTTAGGTAACATTACTTGTAGCAGACTAAATTACCTTGAGAATCATTATAATTATTCCCAAAAGGGTTTTATTTTGTTAACTGAAGTCGGACTACTTGTGTCTGAAATAGTAACAGCAAGTCTCCATAGGTGTGTATGTTTTCCCTCTTTAGTCTAAGTGGTCCCAGGTTTTGTATTTTGCACCTTCGGGTAAATGCCACGATGGTGGATTTGTTGGGACTGATATTTAACCCTTCTCTATCCACCCATCTTGTTGTTCGGTCTAGAGCGTCTTGCATTCGCTCCCTAACTGTAGAGTTGAATTTGCCCTGTGAAATGATAAATATGTCGTCAGCATATCCGAGGGTACGGTGTCCACCTCCGTGAGCACTTTAAGCAGACTGTCCTCCACTAAATTCCACAGGAGAGAGTATAATACCCCACCCTGTGAACATCCTCAGTACACTCTGGCATGGAGAGTGAGTTAGTTTGGATCATTGTGGATTACTTTGTATTTCGTTCAGTTACTTACTTTTAACTTAGTAGGAGCCGAGGATGGGTTAGCCTACAATAAAAGATCAGCATTACAAAACGAGTTGAGAAAGTCTAGAAGAAGTTGATCCCCCAAAGCCAAACACATTTTTTTTTGATATTCCTATTTTTTATCTCAAGCCTGCACTTCAATTATTAATACCTATATATTTTGTGGCAATAATTTAGCCAATTATTAATTTATCATCCTATAAGTAAGAATCGGCCAATTAAATTTGCAACTGTCTAATAGTCCAGGAAAATTGTCGATTTTCAAAAAAAAAAATCCTGCCCAAAAGAACTTTTCAGGGATGATAGGGGGAGGGTGGGTGATCATAAAACCGCAAATATCAAACATTGACCCCTCTGGCGTTTTGCGCTATAGGGGTTCAAAGTGCGCCATTGGCGATTACTTGGTACCTATTGATTTTACAAAAAAATGTTTCAAATAAAAGATGTGCAACATTATTTGATCTACAATGTTTATCTAAAGATTTTTTTGATTAAGGGCCATCTGTGGTCATAAGGGCCGTTTGAAATTTTATAATGAAAATGAAAAATTTTAACCAACGTGAAAAAATTTTCTACAACTCATACAACATTTTTGCTTTAGAAAGTTTTTACTCACCCCTTGCCGTTTTTCAATAGGGGTAGTTTTAAGTTTTTTTATTGTTTTACAAAAAAATTTTCTTGATAAAAGTTTTATAAGATGACATTTCCTACAATTTTTCCTTATCAACTTTTTTTGTAACTCACCCCCATTCAGCGGGGAGACACTTCCCTCGGGGAAATTTTAGTTTTTAGGGGTATGTATTAATTTTTTTTTTCTTTTATCGCCTTTAGTGCATATAAAAAGTTGCAATTAACATTGTATTAAAAGGATTTTTTTTTCACCACCTTTTTGTTTTTAGGGGTAGTTCGCCTATTTTCAACTTTACAAAAAAAAATTATTGAGAAAACTTGTTCATTTTATTATTTTGAGCAACTTTTCTCTATAACTTTTTTTTGTAAAGTTGAAAAAAGGCGAACTACCCCCAAAAACAAAAAGGAGGTGGAAAAAAAATCCTTTTAATACAATGTAAATTGCACCTTTTTATATGCACTAATGGCGAGAAAAGAAAAAAAAAATCAATATATACCCCTAAAAACTAAAATTTCCCTAAGGGAAGTGTCCCCCCGCTGAATGGGGGCGAGTTACAAAAAAAGTTGATTGGGAAAAATTGTAGGAAATGTAATCTTATAAAACTTTTATAAGGAAATTTTTTTTGTGAAAAAATAAATAAACTTTAAATTACCCCTATTGAAAAACGGCAGGGGGTGAGTAAAAACTTCATGAAGCAAAAATGTTGTATGTGTTGTGGAAAAATTTTTCATGTTGGTTAAAATTTTTTATTTTCATTATAAAATTTCAAACGGCCCTTATGACCACAGGCGGCCCTTAATAAAAAAAAGTCTTTAGATAAACATTGTAGATCAAATAATGTTGCATATCTTTTATTTGAAACATTTTTTTGTAAAATCAATAGGTACCAAGTAATCGCAAATCGCGCAAAACGCCAGAGGGGTGAATTTTTTATATTTTCGGTTTTATGATCACCCACCCGCCCCATATCATCCCTGAAAAGTTCATTTGGTTAGGAATTTTTTTTTGCAATACATGTATTTTTCAACTATTTTCCTAGACTAAATTGAATAAAATATCTTGTTTTCAGTTCTGATATTGCAAGAATATTTTTTTTATTTTTTTATATTATTTATTTATTTCAACGGATATACCATTTACATTTGAACAATAAATGTTTTTACAATAATTTCATATAGATCTATTTCATAGGTATAATATTTTTTTATAGGAAGCATTGTCAGTTCAAAGCTCACCACCAATTTATCATCCTTCTCCAAGTCTCACTCAGTCGGCAACACAATTGAGTGAGGAGGAGCAAATAAGAATTGCTAAGAGAATTGGACTGATCCAACATTTACCAACTGGAAAATACGATGGGAGTAAAAAAATAAGAGAGTGTGTTATATGCATGGGAGATTTTATGGTAAGTAACTTGCTTGGGTCACATTCATTAACATTATTTTGTGGAAGTTTTCCAAGACTTCAAGGAAAAATATAATACATGTTTAGTGGAAAATAACCACCCTCAATATCTCTAAATAAAATTTTGAAATTCATTGCGACTTGTCAATGTTTAACTACATTTTGATGAATATCTTGTTTTGAAAAGGCAACCTCCATCCTCAGAATTTTTTTTTTTCAATTATACTATTCTGATTTGGGGATGAAACATTTTGCTAAAAAGATATTATTGATTGTGTGTCGTTTTCAAATAAACATCCAGTAAGTAATTCATGTTTTGGTTTTGATGAAAATAGATAATTATGTTCTCAACAATAGGTGGGCGACGCATTAAGGTATCTACCCTGCATGCACACCTATCACATGACATGTATTGATGGCTGGCTCATGCGACGCCTTACTTGTCCTAGTTGTATCGAACCTGTAGACGCAGCTTTACTGACCAGTTACGAGACCAACTGATGGAGATGGCCAGTGCCTTGTTTAGTTTAAAGTTTACTCCTGCTGGGTCGGGTATTGGTTGGTATTTTTTTTTTTGTAATATTGTATCAGCAGCCCTATTTTCAGGATTAGCAGTGAGCTATGGCATATTTTATTCAACAGAAACTTTACAGCTTAGCTGCCTATTTGATTAAAAATAAAAGGCTTGTCTGAACTGGTAATGATAGCTGCCATTCACATTCAAACAAAATCACACTTATCACAATTATTCTATCAAGAAGGTTCTGAAAGACGAAGTAGGCAATTGAATGTTGGACTGAAAGGGTTAATCTTCTCAAATACTTCCACCCACTTTTTTTTTCTAAAAATATTGTCACGGATTCCGGGTTCACCAAAACTCACTATACCAACAGTACCGTCAAGATGCACCACCTGCATCTTACCTTTGGAGCCACGTTGGAGTCGATATACCACATCGTAGAGTTTCTTTATAATTGTATAAAGGCATTAAACTAAACTACATAAAATACATTGATAATAAAATACTTGCGCATTCCGGGTAAAACATTGTTAGAGAAAGGAGTGGGCGAATTACTTATATTATTGGATCACATCAGTATAATAAGCTTCAACTTTTTGGTCTCTTAGAGGCTCACTGTCTCACAGCCCGTCTTGACTACAGTGGCTAAATAAACCTTTACAAACACTAGCGACAATAGAGGTGCCGCCGCCATTTTCTGCCCACCCTTTGGTAAATTTGAATATGAATTAATGGGATTTAAATGGACATCCATCATAAAAAATTTAAAACGACGTATTTGATGTGCCTATAATAATAGTCATCAAATACGTTGTTTTCAATTTTTGGATGTCCATTTAAATCTCATATATTTATATTCAAATTTACCAAAGGGTTGGCACAAAATGGCGACGTTTTCCATATGAATATATAGGATTTTAAAGAACCAATCAAGAATAAGACAGCAATTGTCGCCACTGTAGTAATAGAGTCACTGTAGTCTTGACTGTCTCTTCTTGGACAGGGCTCACTCCCGCCTCCGCTTCCATATCCTTGAATTTCACAATGCTGGGCTTGAAGGCCTTTGGCAATACTGAAATTTTGATAGTTTAGGCTATAGTGACTATTAAACCACAGTGGCGACAATTGCCGTCTTATTTTTGATTGGTTCTTAAAAATCCTATATATTCATATGGAAAACGCCGCCATTTTGGGGCTTACCTTTTGCTACTTTTAAATATGAATATTGTATAGGATTTAAATGGGCATCCGTCATGAAAAATGGAAACAACGTTCGATTTGCCTGATGATAGTCATCAAATTCAAATACGTTGTTTTCAATTTTTTATGATGGATGTCCATTTAAAATCCTATAAATTAATTTTTAGAAGTAGCAAGTGGTAAGCCCCTAAATGGCGCCGGGACCTCTATTGTCGCCACTGTTTGGAAGGCTTTAGTTAGTCACTGTAGTTCAGGCAAAGCAACAAATTCAACATCATAGACATAGAGTCCAAGAAAATGGGTAGTCTATTTCACCCAAAACTAAATCGACGTGTAGTTTCGCCTATTCTCACTGGCGGCGGCGGGCCCTTCTAAACTTACACTAAAATTGATGTCTTTCACTGTTATATGTAATTGGGGCCTCCAAAAAATCACTCAAAACCGATATCGTTGATGAACGTTTTACGACTGCGAACACCGCATTCGACGCGGAAAGTGGAATTATTCAATGAGTAAGTATATCTTATGGCATTCCATCGATAACCATAGTTTAAATGACTTGTTGAAGTTGCACTACTTGAGGATCAACTTTTTAAAGATTTTTTTTTTTGTTTCTGTCAGTCAAATTTGAATAAAACTTCGTATGCGATATTTTTCAAGAATTGGGCCCCCAATTTGGTTCCAATTGCCAGATCAATTTGCGCTATAGTTCCTTTAGTCTAGGAAAATTGTCGATTTTCAAAAAAAAAATTCCTACCCAAATGAATTTTTCAGGGATGATAGGGGGCATGATCATAAAACCGAAGATATCACACATTCACCCCTCTGGCGTTTTGCGCTATAAGGGTTGAAATTGCGCCATTGGCGATTACTTGGTACCTATTGATTTTACACAAAAATGTTTCAAATAAAAGATGTGCAACATTATTTGATCTACAAAGTTTATCTGAGGACTTTTTTGATTAAGAGCCATCTGTGGTCATAAAGGCCGTTTGAAATTTTATAATGAAAATGAAAAATTTTAATCAACGTGAAAAAATTTTCTACAACACATACAACATTTTTGCTTTATGAAGTTTTTACTCACCCCCTGCCGTTTTTCAATAGGGGTAGTTTAAATTTTTTTTATTTTTTCACAAAAAAATTTTCCTAATAAAAGTTTTATAAGATTACATTTCCTACAATTTTTCCATATCAACTTTTTTTGTAACTCAGTCCCATTCGGCGGGGGGACACTTCCCTCAGGGAAATTTTAGTTTTTAGGAGTTAATATTAATTTTTTTTTCTTTAATCGCCTTTAGTGCATATAAAAAGTCGCAATTAACATTGTATTATACGAAGGCGTAGAGGGGACATTTATTAAACTTTTATTTGCTGATATAGATGCACAATTAATTTCGTGTTAACTAACTCGGAATAAATGCCTTCTTAATTAATTCCGTGTTACTAACTCAGAATTAATCCCCTCCTATTTAATTCCATGTTAACTAACTCGGAATTAATGCCCTCCTATTTAATTCCGTGTTAACTAACTCGGAATTAATCCCCTCTTATTTAATTCCGTGTTACTGGCTCGGAATTAACCCCCTTTCATTTAATTCCGTGTTAACTTACCCCGAATTAATCCCAGGCCTGGATTAAGGGGGGTTCTAGGTTCTACCGGTTCTATAGAACCGGGCCCAACGTTCCAAGGAGCCCTCGCGAGATTGAAGATCAGAAAAAAAAATTTAAACTTGAATATACAAGAAACATTTCCAAAATTCTCCCAAAAGCTGGCTTAACAAGATTATAAACCATCAGCCCATAAATAAAGTTTGTTTTTTATTTAAAGATAATTCCCCAAGTCAAAAATTTAGCAACTATGTTGGCAACACAAGCCTTTTCTACATAAAAAATTTGAAAGCATTGACAATTTTACATTGTATTGCCAACATAATGTCATTTTGACTTTTATCTTTAAAAAAAAAACAGACTTTATATATTGCCATATTGAATCACAACATGGCTCAATAGGTTGAAGCTTAAAGCAATTGAACCTGTTCTCGATCTCGATAGTTGGCGCAGTGAACCAATAATATGACCTTAATATTAAGGCTGGGTTCGGTAATTGCATCTGCAACCAAAAAGAGCAAATTTTGACAGATGTTATGTGATTTGGCACATAAAAAAAGATAAGTGATCATGTGATGTCTGTCAAAATTTTCATTAGGTTTGTTCCAACCTGCAATAATATTACTGTAATATTATCGTCCGTAACCGCGCTAATGCGACTGCGCAATCAAAAACAGTAATATTATACTAAATAACTTAAAAACTTGTTGGAACGTTTTTTGAACTAGTAGTACTCACAACACAAGATGAAAATAACAAAATCAACATAACTTGCATACTTGCAGGTGAATCATCTTCCACCACAATAAGAAATTCTTCTAAACCTAATAATATAAGACAAAAATCAGATTTATTAACTCTGAGAACAAATAAAATAAAATTACTTAACTTCTATAGCAGTCATTTTCAAATAAATAATTTATATAAACAAAAAACTGAGGTTCTGGGTTATGTATTATTATTTATGTTCGTTGTTGTTCAACCACTGACCCGTTTTCGACCTCACTACGCATGCGTCTAATTTTAGAACCAACAGTTCTTCCTTTCAAGCAAGAATCGTTTGAACCGTAATTTTACTATCCGTAACTCCGGTTGGAACGACGAACTGTCAATTATCGCCAATTCTAAATTAGTAATTTTAACTGGTTGGAACAGCATTTCACAATTGCGCATGTGTGCCAGTAATATTACTGGAAATTACTGCCGGTTGGAACAAACCTATTATTTCCATTTTCTGTTATCTCTATTTCATGTCTTACTTTAAACCCTAAACCACGACAATAAATTCATAAAACTTATTGTACCTATTTGCTGTAATTATAGATCTGTTTCTGCAGAAATCACAAACCAGTCAGAGTGAATTTCATTGGTTGAAACTAGTTTTCTGACTGTTATGAACCAATGAAATTCGCACTGACTGGTTTTCGATTTTTGCAGAAACAGACCTATTGTCAACATTTTAAAGTATGACAATGGGGTACCTACTTGCCTGAAAAATTAAATTGATTACCTATTGTTTATTGCAAACTGTAGGAAATCGAAAAAAAATCGAGGCGTGTTTTTTTTTTGTTCTAGGACGATTATTCGGGAAATCAAACAAATATTAGGTTTTGTATATATAGATATACTGAGCATGTGCGACGTCATCAATCCATATGATAAGTGACAAATTTCATAGCGTTGTATTTCCGTCAATTTTTGACTAAGAAGAAAAATAAAAAACGCGTGTTGACTTATATTTTATAGACTAACGAAATTAGCTATAAAAAAATTGATGCAAGTACCATTGTTGATGAGGAAGAAAAAAGTTGTCAAATATGCACTCATAGAAAAATCCGATTAGGTATATAGAAAGTGCTCTTCTGCGCAAAAGGTGTGAAATATACATGCGTGCTTCGTATCACACTGGGATTTGTCTTATGCGACGCACCATAATCATAAACAAAGCCCCGAGAGTTACGGAGCATCTCCTCTAGACCGCGCGCTCTGTACTACACAGGGGTTTGTTCGACGCGACCCAGCGTAATCAAAAACAAAGCCTCGAGTGATACAGAGCATCTTCTGAACCGCGCGCTCTGGTACTATACAAGGGTGTGGTTGGCTCCCTTAATCCAGGCCTGGGATTAATTATTTGGGGTTACTTAACACAGACTCAAATGAGAGGGGATTAATTCCGAGTTAGTAACACAGAATTAAATAATAGGGAATTAATTTCGAGTTAGTTAACACGAAATTAAATGAGAGGAGATTAATTCCGAGTTAGTTAACACAGAATTAAATAAGAGGGGATTGATTCCGAGTTAGTTAACACGGAATTAAATAGGAGGGGATTTATTCCGAGTTAGTTAACACGGAATTAATTGTGTATGTATACCAGCAAAAAAACAATTTAATAAATGTCCCTTCTACGCCTTCGTAGTATTAAAAGGATTTTTTTTTTCATCACCTTTTTGTTTTTAGAGGTAGTTCGTCTATTTTCAACTTTACGAAAAAAAATTATAGAGAAAATTTGTTCAAAATTATAAAATGAACAAGTTTTCTTAATAATTTTTTTTTGTAAAGTTGAAAATAGGCAAACTACCCCTAAAAACAAAAAGGTGGGGGAAAAAAAATCCTTCTAATACAGTGTTAATTGCAACTTTTTATATGCACTAAAGGCGAGAAAAGAAAAAAATTAATATATACCCCTAAAACTAAAATTTCTCTTAGGAAAGTGTCCCCCCGCTGAATGGGGGTTAGTTACAAAAAAAGTTGATTGGAAAAAATTGTAGGAAATGTAATTTTATAAAACTTCTATTGAGAAAATTTTTTTGTAAAAAAATTAAAAAACTTTAAACTACCCCTATTGAAAAACGGCAGGGGGTGAGTAAAAACTTCATAAAGCAAAAATGTTGTATGTGTTGTAGAAATTTTTTTCACGTTGGCTAAAATTTTTCATTTTCATTATAAAATTTCAAACGGCCCTGATGACCACAGATGGCCCTTAATCAAAAAAGTCCTCAGATAAACTTTGTAGATCAAATAATGTTGCACATCTTTTATTTGTAATTTTTTTGTAAAATCAATAGGTACCAAGTAATCGCCAATGGCGCACTTTCAACCCCTATAGGGCAAAACGCCAGAGGGGTGAATGTTTGATATTTTCGGTTTTATGATCACCCACCCGCCCCCTATCATCCCTGAAAAGTTCATTTGGGTAGGAATTTTTTTTTGCAATGCATGTATGTTTCGACTATTTTCCTAGACTGCTTCTTTCGTCGAGTATCGGGCGGCGAACGTCCGAACTCGAATCGAACCGAAACGACGTCATAAGAGTTTTTCTGGTCTCTGGTCACTCCAAGCAAACCAAAATTTTGCGCTACGAATTTACAAACGTGCTGAGGTCGTTATTTTTCTAAAGATTACTATGGCACGTGCAAAGAAATATCCACGTGAATCTGTGGGAGGCAAAACCCCCCCTTGAGCGCTCGCAACCAAGCCTGAAAAAAAAGCGCCCCCAGTCTTTGGAGGCGTGAAGAAGCCGCGCAGATTTCGTCCCGGCACTTTTGCCCTGGGAGAAATTCGTCGTTACCAGAAGTCAACCGATTTGCTGTTCCATAAATTACCGCTACAACGACTCGTGAGAGAAGTCGCACAACACTACCAACTGGACATACGTTTCCAGGAATCTAGTGTATTGGCTTTGCAGGAAGCCTCTGAAGCCTACTTGGTCGCTTTGTTTGAAGATGCAAACCTTCTAGCTCTCCATGCAAAGAGAATTACGATTATGCCCAAGGATCTACAATTGGCTTGTCGTATTAGAGGCAAACAAAATTATTGTTTCAAGGAAAATTAATAAACAAAAAAGTTCCAACATTATTATAGTAATCGTTAAAAAAATTAGCCATTGTTTCTTTGTTATTATTCTTGTTAATTTTTTGAACGATTTGCCTTCATCTTGTGCAGTAGTTACCCCAAATTTAGTAACAATATATGTATTTTTTTTTCTTGTTTAAAAAAAAAATCTTTAAAAAGTCTTGGGGGAGATGTTAACCCTCAAATGCAAGTTCAACAAGTTATTTAAACTATGGTTATCGATGGAATGCCAAAAGATATACTTAACGATTTATAATGAAACTGGTGTATATAATTGTCATGAGTAATTACGATTCTCATAGGATTTCATTTCAAACTAGGTCAATAACAAAAAATCATGAGTTGAATTTTGGAGAAAACTGCAAAGAATGTTTATTGAATAATTTCACTTTCCCCGTCAAATGCGCTGTTCGCAGTCGTGAAACGTTCATCAACGATATCGGTTTTGAGTGATTTTTTGGAGGCCCCAAATACCTACATAACAGTGAATGACATCAATTTGAGTGTGAGCTCACGTAGGTACCAATTTAGTTTTGGGTGAAATAGACTACTTTCCACTTTCTTGGACTCTAAACTGCAGAAAGTTTGTGATTGGCGGCAGATCATGTACCTTAAAATTTGTAGATGCATTGGAAAGAGTTTTAACAAATCATGTTACTTACACAAAATGTTGAATTTGTTGCTTTGCCTAAACTACAGTGACTAAATAAACCCTTACAAACAGGGGCGATAATAGAGGTACCGGCGCCATTTATAGGATTTTTAATAGACATCCATCATAAAAAATTGAAAACAAAGTACATATTTGAATTTGATGACTATTATTAAGTAAATCAAATGCGTTGTTTTCAATTTTTTATGATGGATGTCCATTTAAATCCTATACAATACAATAAGAAAAGAGAATACCTATATTGTTACTAAATTTAAGGTTACTACTTTACAAGATGAAGTCAAATCGTTCAAAAAATTAACTAGAATAATAACAAAGAAACAATGGCTAATTTTTGTAACGGTTACTATATTAATGTCGGAACTTTTTTGTTTATTAATTTTCCTTGAAACAATAATTTTGTTTGCCTCTAATACGACAAGCCAATTGTAGATCCTTTGGCATAATCGTAATTCTCTTTGTATGGAGAGCTAGAAAGTTTGCGTCTTCAAACAAAGCGACCAAGTAGGCTTCAGAGGCTTCCTGCAAAGCCATTACACTAGATTCCTGGAAACGTATGTCCAGCTGGTAGTGTTGTGCGACTTCTCTCACGAGTCGTTGTAACGGTAATTTACGGAACAGCAAATCGGTTGACTTCTGGTAACGACGAATTTCTCTAAGGGCAACAGTGCCGAGACGAAATCTGCGCTGCTTCTTCACGCCTCCAAAGACTGCGGGCACTTTTTTTTCAGGCTTGGTTGCGAGCGGCTAAGGGAGGGCTTTGCCTCCCACAGATTTACGTGGATATTTCTTTGTACGTGCCATAGTAATCTCCAAAAAATAACGACCTCAGCACGTTTGTAAATTCGTAGCGCAAAATTTTGGTTTTTTTGGACCAGAGACCAGAAAAACCCTTATGACGTCGTTTCGGTTCGATTCGAGTTCGGACGTTCGCCGCCCGGTACTCGACGAAAAAAGGAACTAGAGCGCAGATTGATCTGGCAATTGGAACCAAATCGGGGCCCAATTCTTGAAAAATATCGCATACGAAATTTTATTCGAATTTGACTGACAGCAATGTAAATTAAACGAGAAGCGTTCGAATTTATATCGAATTCCGTATGCGATATTTTTCAAGAGTAGGGCCCCTCCTCTGCTGGTCTGTGCTGAGGCCCAAAACTTCTCCATCCAGGACCTAGTTGCTGATGAATTCGTGGTCTCACTGGTTATCTAGGTAATGGGGTAATGGCATTCTGCCTATATTACTTCTCCACTCGCCTTTACCTCGTAACAAAGAAGGGCCATCTCTAGCATACAATTGCTGCTGTGGCATGCTATTGCTATTAGCAATGCCTAGAGGTATGGTTTCCATGTTCTGTGGTGTATCTTGAACAGTATAACTTGTATTAATAAGTCTCCTACCTCTTGGTTGCGTTTTTTGCCTTCTGTAAATTTGCTGTTTTGAATATTTGCAAATAGTTTGCTTAAAATGTATTGTTTTTGCTCTGGCGGTTCCTCTCTATTGGCGGCATTGGCTAGTTTGACTCGGGATGCATCAAAATCGCTTTAGCAGTAGATAATATAGGCGGTGGAGGTGGAGTTGAAGGCTCTTCAACGATTTCTGCTCTCCGGCATAGGTATTATTAGTCTGATATCTGTGTCCTGACTACCAAAAAGCTCGTTCAAATTTGTTCTCTTTTTGCTCAACACCAGCCTTAGATTCACCTCCATTGGTAGTTGATGTTTTTCAGTTGATCCAAGTGATGGTGCTGCTTCAATGGTGTTCTTATTTTCAGGACTCTTGCATGAAGATGTTGAATTTCTTGCACAGGAATATCAGCCAAATTTTGACTAATGTAATTCTGACTTCTACTCCGATTAACAGTTTCAACATTAGGTTCACTGCTAAAAGATTCTTCGTTGTGAAAGGTTTCTCGCATTTGGTGTCATAGTCCTGAGATCTTTTAGATTCTGGTTTGTCTCGGTTCTCATTTTTACTACCGCTACTCGAATGGCTCTTAGTTTTCATATGCGAATCGTGACTACTCGACTTGCTACTATTGTAGGCGGACTGTTAGTAGTTTCAGGGGAATAATTTATAACTGTTATTATTATTATTAGATAAACACTTTTGGATTTTTTGTCAACTTCACTTGTCATACAGAGATAGTTAGGGTTATTCATATGTAGTACTTTATTAGTTGTGATTTTATTACTTCCAAGAGAATGGGCCTGACGGCCGCCGCCAATTTGCTACTATGAAGTCGTTGAGTACTTCCTATAGCCCTGGATTTTGTCATTACTTCAGGCATTATTTCTAATGCTACTACGGGTTTTAGGAAGATGTTCTTATCAACTAGAGTCGCAACACCAGTTGCAAAGTTTTTTTCTGCGGCTCCAAAAACTCCTCCTGTTTTTGAAGAATATCTTATTTAAACTGACTTCTATATTACAAAGCAGGCGGTCATTAAAAGATTTAAAATTGAAGGAACCCTTTCAAAAGTACATATACAGAAGGGAATTGGATTGTTCTAGTAATAAGAATTGTATTTTATAAGTTTGATCGCCATAAGCACTTTCAGCATCTTCCTGATAGCTATGTCGTTGTCAGGCCTGGAGACGGATCATCCTATCTTGCAAATTATATAAAAGTAGTTAAAAAGATATCTCAGTATATGTTTAAATCCAACAATATATTGTCAGCTTGACTTCCAGATTCTCCTGGATATTTTATATGTATAAATTAACCATAGTCATCATATCATAGTCATATTTAATTCCCTCTTGTGTTAAAATTTGAATTTTCAGATTGTTGCGGATTTGTTTCGAACCTCCAGTTTAGACAAGCCTTTAAAGTTGATTCTTGGTTTGGAAGCTATAAGAGTTCTGTAAAAAGCTAGGCGAAGGGTAAACATTTTATGTTTCAATATTTAGAAAGCATTTCAATTAAGGTCGTCTTCAAACCAAGAATTTCAAGTCAAATGTATTTAATAATTTAAACTAGGACTACAGTTTATATACCGCATTAATTTGCACATGCTTAATATCAATATTTTTTAGATTTCAGTTTTAAGGTTGTGATTTACCTAAATTTATAACAAAATTTTCGTTTGTAAATTTTTTTGTTGGATAATAATAGCGGAGTAATAAGCCAAAGAATGGATTCTGGTATTGTATCTGGTTGATTTTAAATAATTGTTTGGGCTTGTGAAGGGAATTTGGTTATTAAGGTGCATGAAGTAACCTAATAATGATGCTGATAAGTGGACAATACATTAAAAAGAATTTAATATCCGCTATTTTTACTCCGTAGTGATTATTTTACTAAATTATTTGTGGCGATTGTCTTAAATTTCCGTATTTGCCTAGCTTCTGATACATTTAAATATAGAAATACTGTGATCTGTAATTTTTGTCTGAATGATACATCACTTTTGTCTGGCTGTGAATTTCGTCAAGCTTGGAAATATCTGGATTTCTGATAATCAGGATGTTTTTTTTTTTTTTCTAAAAGATATTTTTTTTGTCAAAAGCATATAGGTATTCGTAGAGGTTATGTGGATAAGTTAGTTTTGTTCCAAAATAGCATAAAAGTATTTAAGTTTATTTTGCATTTCATTTTCAACACATTCACTGCCTATAATGTTTTCAAATGTCAATGTATGCTTGGCTTGTATGGAAGCGTACTTATATGTTCAATCTTCAGGTTTAAAGTGGATGAGGGTTACTTTTATCCGTTATTGACACTGATTGGGAGCTTCAGGACAATCAGGTTGAAAACAGATGTTGGTCTCTGGGCAAGGAATGTGTTAATGTTGAAATTATTATCAAAAACTGGAAACTATTTTTTTTTTCTATAAATTCCTTTGTAAATTTTAGGCCTTTGATTCGTTTAGAATTTTTATAAAGGTGTCTTGTTTGAAAAGTAAAATGTTATTATAATTACCTGTTTATTCGCTTCTTCATCACATTAATAATTAAACCTAAGTACTAATTGAATGAGACCTAAGCCAGTTGTGTCTGAATAAAGAATTACTAAGTAAAACGGGAAACAATAATTAGGATTCTAATTTTTACTAAGCTAAGTTGATGTGCAATGTATATGGCTGTCTTTCTTTTCTTCTTGCTGGCTATTTCCAAGCTTAACAAAGAATGTACCACTTTTAACACGAATGACTGTTATATACTTATATATTATTATTTTTCAGTAATAGAAAAAAAATAATTCGAGTTTAAAAGATTTGTAAATAGTTATAGAACTAACCTTATAAGTTAAATAAAATAGTCATTTTGGTGGTGATATATTGTATAATAATGTCTTTAGATCTAAATATAAATATATGTGTCGCACTTTTAGTGGACTGCTTTGGGTATGAAGCAAAGTTTTTTTTATGAACATTTGACCTACTTTTTTCAAATAAATTATACCAATAAAATTACCAAAATTTGCATTTAAAATTTGATTTGTCTTTCTTCTATGTTTGTCAATGAATAAAAAATTGACAGAGAGGAGTATTCTGCTAGAGAGTAGTAATAAATGTCAATTATACGGAAGATCGTTAACATTTGAGTTTTTTATATTCTTGCTTTCTCAAAGTAAAAGTAGATTTGTTTTAAATGTTTTTATTTTTATTGTTGTTGGGTAATATGTAATATTTTCTCTATACCAGTTCCACGTTCTTAATTTATTTCCGGCAGTAATCAGCTGAAATGTTCTGCCTTGAAGGGCCAATTTTTTCGAGTAGAACGGCGAATTCTTTTTTGTTTTGCTATCTGACAGCTTCAAATTCCGTAGTCATGTATTTTTCAGCATTTTGCTCTTGCCAGTCTTTTCCTCAGTTCTTAAATTCAGCTTTTCACGTCTCCCGATTTTCATTCCAATTCAACTATTATTTTCAACTACTTTTTTAAATGTCCAATTCTTTGTTTGAAATTGGCAGTTTGAATTCCCCCATTTCTCACATAGGATTAAATGAATCAAAGAGGTGTCTTCTATATCTGCAAAATAGTCAGCCATGCAAAATATAAATGAATGAAATGCAAACTTCTTAAGAGCACCATTTAAAGATTTTTTTATTCCAAATCTCATGACAGTTCGGCTTTTACTGTAGTATTTGCAATAGTTTAGCTAGCAGAAAATGTATTGGCATTGGCTTCAATCGAGCTGAATGCCCGAAAAAGTGCCGCATGTTCAGGGTTATTATGTGTCTACCCCTTAAATTCATAAGATCTGTGGAACTTTTATTGAAATAAAGGTAGGAGCAAAGGTCTGTATCTGCAAGGGCGAAGAGATTCGGAAACTACTATGGCCAATTATTGCATTAAATAGGAGTACGAAAATTCATGTAGTTCTTTGTTTGAAGTTTGACTTACGGATATTAGTGAAGAACCAAATAAACGTTCATTTATTTGATCTTAAATTGTTTAAGAACCAAAACATTTGAAATATATTTTCATGAAAAATGGGTTATAAATAGGGGATCAAAATGGCATCCGATAAACTAATAAAGCAAATTGTCGATTTGTTAACACGCAATACTGGGTCCCTAAGTGATAGTGCCCCTGCATTTTGACCCCTTACATTGACTTTCATATTTGGCTAGAATTTAGTTACTCTGAAGAATCTGTTGTCTGGTAGCTTAAACTGATACCTGCTAGATAAACTAGATGGAATATATAACTTTCTGTAGTGTCGTTTCCGAGGTCTTTTCATTGCTTTCACTAAAAAGGGTTGGGGTGGAAATAGTTATAAAATATATATCTACCTACTGATGTGAAAAAAGACGTTAGGCATATGGGTTTACTTTCCTGTTCTTACCTAATTCGACAATTGAGTAATAGGACCATTCACACTCGGTTTTTCCTTGGCCACATACTTGAATAAGGCTTAATTAATTAAAGGTGCTGTTAAGGGTATTGAATGCGCCGTTTAAAATATATTGTAACGCACGTCGAACTATACGACTCCCAACAAGTTAATGCTAATAAAGATGCGAGGTTCATCGCGATTATTGCATTGGGCTACTGTTGGGCCGGTTGGCCTTGGATCCTTCATGATAGCGATTTAAAATTTATCGCAAATCAGGCGGAGGAAAGAGCCATAGGGTTTGCTGCGGGTATAACAGAGACAGGCAAAATGACAAAGAAGAATTAAGTAAATTTCTACAAAAAAAAACTAGATGATTTTTGGGATTCTGGTTTGTGCTATTGTATTGCTAACACACATAAGATTGGCGCTAAATAAAAAAGACACCATAAATTGATTAATTTTCTCGTTTTTTTCCAGTTTAAATTACATTTTTGTAATTTTTCGAGAACTCGTTTCTATTACCGGATTTCTAAAAAGATAGCGCCATTCTTCCCTATATTATAAATCGAATGCAAAAAAGAAATTTGATATAACTTCAACTGCTAAAAAGTTACGTTGAAACTAAGAACGCAATGCATTCCTTGTTTCATTCATCTCATTCCCACTAAGGAGTATTAATAGGGGGGGAAGAATACAATGATAGACTGCGTTAGGTGCTTCGCGCAGGAAAAAATATTTTGGCATCGAGGCGCATTCAATCCCCTTAAAACCTTAAATACAAAAGTTGGAGGGTCTTTCGTGAATTTTTTTAATATTCTTAATAAATAATGAAGCGTCATATTACCGCTATAGTTATCAACGTTATGAGAATTTTTTTTTAAAATCAATCTGACAATAAATGGCACGTTCCTATGGAAACAGTTGTACAGTTGTAGTTTCTAGGAAACTTGTAAATAATTACCTTGTTAAAGTTATGTTTGGTGGCTGTTAAAAGTAAAACTTTCCAATTTCAATTCAGATCCTGTTATAATTTTTTTTTTTCAAAATTTGGGTGATCATGCTCGTCTGTTATTTTAGCTAGCATGTATCAAAAGATTCACTAGAGGCCCTGCAACTTTTGCAATCAGCGTGTTCACCCAACACCAGTAAATAGGCCGCCTGTGGTGGGGAAAAAATTATAGGAAAAAAAGCCGATACCTACTCTTTCATTGAATACTTTGTTGAACATCCTGTTCATCCAGTGCTTTCAAAAAATGATTCATTTAGTTGATGAACAACAATGAAATCCATCCTTCAAATATTCATCAATGACTGAAAATTTGAGGATGTTTCGCTTGAGAACGCTTTTTGCAATTTTGTATTATTTAGGATGGCACACGTATAGTCCGTTGCATGGTTCTTGACCTACGGCTACTGAATAGACAGAGGGGACAATGGGCTATTGCTGTGTTGTCAGTTGTCGTATCGATAATATTTATTAATACATGAAAATTGCAATAAAATTTCCTTCATTTTCATGTTATAATAAACATTATTATTGATATGACAACGCAGCAATAGCTTATTGTTCTTTCTGTCTATTCAGTAGTCGTAGCTCAAGAACCATGCAACGGACTATAGGTATGTATTCCAGTTTATAGGTTCAATAAACAAACTGAAATTATTATTACTACTCTATATTTATTGTTGGTTAAGAAAATATTTATGCAGTTTATGTTATCTGATTTCCTGCTAGAGTTATATATATTTTCAATTGATATAAATAGGTTTATTAGTTGCAACTTGAATGTTTGATTTTATTCTATGTACCTAGGTATATTTTGATAACACAAGAATGGTAATAAAAAATATAGATATTACAGGTCTGTTTTGATATAGCTATACAACCGCGTTTGTTTATTTTTAGCCAATTAAATGTTGACTGTAAATATGGTGGTTTTAGTTTTACCCTCACCCTAAGATCTTACCACGACTACATTTTTCGGAAAACATCAAACCTATTTGTGTATTGGTCTCTTAATATTTTACAAATTATGCAACCGCACATTTGCTCATCTTCATAGATTGCATCCTTGAAAGATTTTTTTTTTAACTTCCAAATAGATATAAGTATTTTTATCTTTTTCCCATTTACACAAACAGATTCGTAGAAAAGAAAAATAGGGTCGGATAAGAGCTGGTTTACAACAGCGACTGTCTACCGTTGATTGGGTATTTAATAAATGTGTGAAAAATTGTGGGTCGAGAATAGGGCTATTCGGCCATCAAAGAATACGCAGATAATGATGGTGCCATTATTACTAGTTAGCCAGTGAATGCATATGATGATCATACATACATATCTGGACTTGTTATTATAGTAACAATAATTCTTTATTTAGTACACATCGCCGCTACCTACATAGGAGCTATACACGCCTGGCAAGTAAACATCTTGCATGCCAATTTTAATGCAATAGAATGAAATGTCTAGAGAAAGTCTGAGGTTGAATAGAGAACGAAAACGATTTCCCCTGTTCCACCACTAGCATTACCAGCGCTTTTTGCTGGAGGTGGAACAGGGGAATTTGTTTTCGCTCTCTATTTAACCTTACGCTATGTCCAACGTGAACACGATACGAGCGGTGCGTGCGATGCGGTGAACGTCTGCGTTTAAACCTATGTATTTAAATTAGCATATCTAAAGTAGATGCATTACGCGGGCGTTGCGGGCGATTTTGTGTACCCGCAACGCACGCTTTGTTTAAAATACAAACATGTTTGAATTTGCACGCAGAACTCGTACGACGATGGAAGTTTTGATCAATGTAATTCAGAAACGTGATGTTTTATGGAATAAAAGAAATGCTTTTGGAAGTTGGATCTGCTCGTCAGTGGCGGTTCGCCCATATGCAGGGCAAGGTGGGCACCGCCACCCTGGAGAAAAAATTAAAAAATAAAAAATATTTGTAATACAACATTTGAAAAGGACCTTGAAAATCTTTAAAAAATTACGCCTACGGCTGTTTTTTATTTTTGTCGCCCACCCTTATTTAGACACCACGAGCCGCCACTGCTGCACGTATTGTTTGCCCAGCGGATCTGAGTCTACGGAAGGAATTCGGACGTAAATGTGCCATTTTGCCACGTTTAATTATAAAAAAGCGAAAATACTAGGCATAAAGTATAGTTAATTTGAAAATTCATTTTTTGATAACAAAATATTGATAACAATAATAAAACGCTAAATATTTTAACGTGGTTGTTAGACCTATCCTTATTTTAATCTTGTTTTCTTCAGTTTGGTCTATTGTAAAAAATAAACATTTTCTAAAGATACCATCAGCTTTTGACAATTTGGCAAGCATCCGTCCTGGATGAACCTGATTGGTGGAGTTTTTGGCAGGATCACCGTTGTCATGGGGAACCATACGGTTGTCAATGAGCTAACGTCACCTTACGTCTCAATATTGGCCAGGGCTCACGTCATTTTATCCTCCCATCTTGGAATATCAATTTATATTGACATACCCAGTGGCGGAGATTTGGTAATTGCTGATTTTCGTGTACGAGTTGCAATACGATAACACTTCCAAAAAGTTCCGCACGCAGCTGGGTATTTTATGAACGAAATCAGCCATTTTTTTTTACAACTGCATTCCCCTTACCGTTGCCCCGTAGACACAGACTCGGTCCATTCCAAAATAATTCGTTGACTCTTCAAGTATCAATAAAATGTTGATGATACCCTCAACCACAAACTTCGACTACCTGTGAGCAGGTCCGGGTTGATTTTATTTATTATACCTGCCTAGGTGAGATGTACATGTAAATGTGGGTGAATGTTTTAGTTAAATTATTTAGTCTTTGTGCAGAACTAGAGCTGTTATATTGACAAAAAAAATGTGGCGTCCATGGGCAAATGATGGTAGTATTGCAACCGGAAGTGGTATTTCAAAAAAAAACATTTATCGCTAGATGCCAAGGAAATTGTGAGGAACGTTTATTTAACCCTTCTGCAGAGAGGCTATAATCATAATCAAAGTGTGAGTGAATCATCCGTTTTAACTCCATTATCTACAGTTAAAGATATCGTAGCCAAACGCATCCAGCCAAGGAAGCAACGGTGTGACATCGGCAAGTCAAGAGAGGTTGAAGAAGCGGATAAAGAGTTGATTCGTAGGAAAATTTATGATTTGTACAGTAAACAAATAATACCTACAATAGATTCTCTAAAAAAGGTACTTATAGAAGACGAAACTGATATATTATGCAGAACAAGCCTTTGGAGAATTGTGAAAGCAATGGGTTTCAAATATCAAACCATTAATAAGAGGCAAGTGCTAATGGAATCCCAGCGATTACAAGCATGGCGTCGAGAATATTTAAGTTCCATAAAACAATATAGGGCAGAAAATCGTCCGATAATATATCTTGACGAAACATGGTTTGATACCCATGACACTCCCAAAAGAGGATGGAGCGACTCAACCTCCAAATGTCAAACCAAAGCACCCTCAAATAAAGGCCAGAGGATTACAATTTTGCATGCCGGATCAGAAAATGGTTTTGTTCCAAACTCTTTGCTGCTATCCGCAAAAAAAATAGCCAATTCATCATTAGATTATCATCAAGATACCGATGCAAAATTATTTGAAGAATGGTTTCAGAATCGCCTTCTTCCGAACATACCAGAAAACAGTATAATTGTGATGGACAACGCTAGTTACCACAGCCGTCAAAAAAATAAAGTGCCCAATGCAATAACATAAATAAATAATATTATGAAACGCCTTTTTCGTTTTCATTATAATGGGCACAAAATCCGTACCTGTAAACCTTTGAGTGGGTATTAAGGAACCCGGTACCTACATAAAAGAACCTGGTACCTACACAATAGAGGCTAATAGCTATCTAATTTATGGTAGGGTTTTATAGCCGTGAAGTCAACGAAATATTTTTAGCAGTATGTTCATATAAATGATGAAAATCTCCGAACTTTAATCATTTTCGAAATATTTCATGGGTGATCGCTTTTTCTTCCTTGGCCATTCTTTCTAACATTTTCAATTTCCGTACACTATTTCTAATAAAAGTACACGTTCTGGTTCCTCCATTTTATAAATCCAAAGCAACGCAAGAGACAAGAAGGAACAACGACCGATGATCTCGTGAGCACATTGGACACAAACGCATTTGTCGCGTTTTTTCAACGGTGCGTGCGTTTGACGCATCGCACGCATCGCTCGAATCGTGTTTACGTTGGACATAGCGTTAAACTTTTTCTAAACATTTCATTCTATCGCATTAAAATTGGCATGTAAGATGTTTACTTGCCAGGCGTGTATAAGAAAGATCATGCCTATTTGGTTCTCATTGGTACAAGGAATAAAAAAAAGCTACATACCTTTCTAAAAAGTATTAATTTTATTTATCGTCTTCTTCCCCTTAAAACTACACAAATTAAAACAAAAAAAATAATCACAGCGAAAAGGAATATACAAACATACCAGGCTGATCAAAAAGCACGCTGCTCAATAAGGCACTATAAAGTCGACATTGCAGAAACTGAAATTTCTAGGAAAACATATAAAGCAAAGAAGTAACACAAAACTTAATAATAATAATAATTTCTTAAAGTAAAAACATGAAATTCATAGGAAAGGCAAATGCTGCCAGTGCTATCTTCTTTACGCACTGTGTTCACTGGTATGGAGTCTTGAACTAACAATAAAATAACTAGAAAATTGCTACAGAACAAAATACAGTTCCGGATTGAAAATACGTTGTGAATGTACAGGGCTTTTCCCCATATATAGACCCCCCGACTACAGGGGTTATGTGAACCTATCAAAAAATTGTGAATACAAAAGTTTTGGGGTTTCACCTGAAATTTTCGAATCCGATGTCAAAAATGTTTTTGTCTTTTGTCAAATTTTAACAGATGGTCAGTTTTTTCTTATGGAACACCCTTCATAGTTGAAATGAGTCGAATTTTCTGATTTGTAATATATATTGTTTAACTACTTTTAATTGAGACGTTTTGGAAATATCGGGCTCTAAACTTCAAGAATTAATACATTGAAAGACCTGTGTCATGTCAAACAATAACAATGCACCGCCTACCAAGGTGTTTCAATGTATTATTTTCTTAGTTTAGAGCCCGATATTTCTAAAACGGCTTAATTAGAAGTTGGTAAACTTTATACTTGAAATCAGAAAATTTGACTCTGTTCAACTATGAAGTCATATATAGGGTGTTCCATGAGAAAAAAACTGACTATCTGTCAAAATTTGACATTTTTAGAACGAGAAAAACATTTTTTACATGGGATTCGAAAATTTCAAGTAAAACCCCAAAACTTTTGTATTTACAATTTTTTGATATCTCTTCACATAATCCCTAGTGGGGGTGTGCACCTCAGCTGCAGCCTTCACCTAAAGAGGTGAAAATTGAAACAAAAAAAATTTGCCTGATATTTCAGAACCCATTATTGGAAAAAAAATTAACATTGGGAATGTCAAATTTTGCATGACCTTAACCTTTTCTAAATGGAGTTTTCTATATTTGGTTTCATATTTGACAATGCCCCAATTCCAAAAACATATTGTTTGCCTCTGTTTGGTCAAGCCGTATTCAAAAAATTGTAAAATTACTATCAGAAAAACCTAACATTGGCTGAACCTGTGAAAATTAAAGCTACAGGTGGGAAGGTTCACGAAATCTAAGGCCCTAGGTTTTTCTGATATATAATATAGTAGTACACAATTTTTAGAACCAGACCTACATGAAAAACGGCTCAATGAACAGACAAATTATATACAGGGTGTCCCAGGGAAAACAGTCCACCCTGATTTTTTCTATTTGAAATGAAAATCTGGAAAAACGCTCGGGCACATCGATTTTTGATTTGAGGGGGAAATATTTTTCAGTTTTTTTCATCTCCGTAGCTTCAACCCTCTTGCTAGAGGGAGAACAACCCCCCAAATTTGAATAACGGATAGGAGTCGTATCATACCTCTTTTTGAAGGTCTTATTAAGCTCTTCATGACCCTAGAATTTCGTCTCATTATATTTATTCGTTACGCAATGACAGCTTGTCAAAATCTTGGAAATAGATTATTGTTCTAGTAGGGGTGAAAGCGGTATCTATTTCCCTGTCATTTCGTTTTGGATGAAAATAATGAGACGAAATCCTAGGGCCATAATGAACTCGATTCCCTAATCAAATTTGGGAGGTTGTTCTCCCCCTAGCTAGGAGGTAGAAGCTACAGGGATGAAAAAAAGTTCCCTCGCAAATCAAAAATCGACGTATCCGCGCGTTTTCCCAGATTTTCAATCCAAATCCAATAATTCGGGGTGGGCTGTTTTCCCTGGGACACCCTGTATATATTTTTGGATTACAAAAATGCGCTCTTTTACTAAAATTTAAACATAAAATCTTAAAAAAGGGACTATTTTAGGTATACTTTGCAAAAAAATCTATGAGGTCAAATAAGTTTTCTACAGGCACTTCAAAACTAAAAAAATTTAAAATCGTTGAAACGCGCTAGACGATGACGTATGAAAATAATGATCAATCTACCAACGAATGTTATGGGTTAAGCAGATTTCTTGAAAGCAAAAATTGTTTTTAAAGCTATCTTTAAACCCTGTATTTTCTGGTGAGCATTATTTATAGTTCCTGACAAATAATTAGGTAATAAATATCTCCACAAATGCAGTTCTTATGACTATCCTAACTAAAACAGCTGGCTATACAAAAAATCTTATCATTATAGTTGCTACCATTAAAACTAGTGGTTTTTGGAACAGCCCATATCGTTTTCAGACAAAATACTTTTTTTCTTTCATATAATAATCATCAATTTTAGGTCCTAAATTAACTCATAGTCTTCATTAAACCGCCAGGCTATATTTGGTAGGGTTCATTTTTGAAAACTTATGGTAAATGCAATAACAAATATCTTCCAAATAAAATAATGAGCACACAATTTTATAGAAATTACCTTTGAATATTTACTATTTGTCTTTAAAAACCAGTTCAAAATGTGAAAAATTATTGAATGCTAAGTATTTTAAATAATTACATGTTTTTAGGGGAAGACTACAGACTTTTTTTAAACAAACTTTTTGAATGAGATTATTACAATTCTTATTGTGTGTAGGGGTTCTTTAGTAAATCTGATGTTAATGTTTATTGCACTCAAGCCAAGTTTTTTGACTGAAATTAATTCCAATCCAGTAAATCCAGATTTTTATACATTTCTGTGAATATTTCCAATAATGTTTATAGATAACGTCCTTAGTGTTTGAGATAGAGTAGAGATAATGGGTTAAGGACTTTGGAAATAAAACTCCCTTTTTTCAAAAAATTATGCCGACGTTTCGACCATATATTTGGTCTTCTTCACAGGCTACAAACAAAAAATGAACGAAACGTCGGCATAATTTTTTGAAAAAAGGGAGTTTTATTTCCAAAGTCCTTACCCCATTATCTCTACTCTATTTCCAATAAAGTTATGATCGTAGAAAAAAAAACTCCACTAGAAATAAACAAAAATAAATTGAATTCTGTTTCTGCAAGCTACTTAGTTCATATTATGAGAAAATTGGGATTCTATTTTTTTAAATCAAGTTAACACCTAGTATTACCAAGTTGACAGTCAAAAATCAAGGCCTCTACGTACAGGTGAATCAATTCCCAAATAATTGGGTTTCACAGGAATGTAAATACATATTAGTTTTTATTCAAAAGCGTAGAGTTAGGGTCGCATCACCGGTAGAAGTTTCAGACAAAAAATAAATTAGTAAACAAAAAAACATACGATGTAATAAATAAATAAACAAAAATAGTAAAAGAAATTAGTGTACATGCAAAATATTAGCAGTGGTTGTTCATGAGGTTTTTTTTTTCACTTTCTTTTAGTAGTTTTACGACTAAGCTGTTCCTCGGCTGCCAATATGTTTTTGTAGTCTCCTACATGTTTTTTGGCGTTTGAAAGGGTTACTATCATGCTGTCTAATAGCTCCTCCCATTTTCTACAGTAGACTAAAAGAAAAATTGTTTTTTTTTATAAAATAATTAATAACTGGCTATTTTGCACAATTATAATAATTCTAAAAGACAAAAAAATTTAGGAATAATATATGCAGGCAGTCTCGATACATACTATGTATCTTTTGTAAATATTATTCCGATAAGGGTCATATTTTAGGCACAGAAATTATTGCATGCTGGCACACTCAGTATATTGACACTCCTTTCAGAGTATATGAAGACCTGCTAATTGTGAAGGGCAGTGGGAAATCATTTAGGACTCGTGACGACCTGCACAACGCAAGATATAAAGAGAACGTGAAGCCGAAAAGGTGTCAGACCAAATCAGGTTAGTGGAATGTGCTGAACCATTAAAATAAATCAATAACCACATATTTCTGGAAAGCCGATGCCCAAAAACAAATTGTCAATGGACTAAGCAATTCTTCAAAACTAATTCATTGTTTAAAATAAAATTTATTACACTTGAAATACCACAATATCACAGCGGATAAGCAGAATACTGTCTCAGTTCTAGACTAGATGAAAACTGTCATTGTCCTAGATGGGGGTTTGCAACAGAATATTCAATCCAGCGACATCGCAGGAGAAAGTTGGTTGATATTTGTCACCTATATGGGGTCCGTGAAAAGATAATTGTTTCAATTAAAATGAGCAATCAGTTTGGGAGAGTTAAGAAGCTTATGGAGGAACGATAATGACTCAGTGTCTTGATGTACAGTTGAGAAAGCTCTACAAACCTAGATAGGACGTGGATATTCACGAGAAATCACTGCAAGCAGACACCTTCCTGTATAAACATTGGGTATTTTATAAATCGTCTCTGGATATAAGCATTGTATAATATGGAATCAAGGAAAGCTTCTCAACTCCAACGTCTCCAACCAGTGAAAAACGGTTTAAGGTAGAAGAACCAACATTTTTGGCGTTGAAATCAAGTCTGTTAGCTTGGTAGAGATTGGTTCTGATGCTTACTGCAACAGTATGTGGCTATTGAGAGATTGTTAATAATTCTAGAGAAAAAATGTTCATGTGAGAAAATCTGAAACACTTTGCAGAAAAAAAACTTTCAAATAGACATGAATGATCTTGCCATCTGGACCAGAAGTGACTCTGTGCTTCAGCATTTGGCATGCGTAGGTAACAGCTTCCGAAGTGAATGTGGGAACGCCAATTGTGTCGGAGGGTAGATTTGGTGAAAAATTGAATCTGCTCAGAGTTTTTGGAATGTTCTCTCAAATGTGGGGACATTATCCTAAGATCGATTGAAGGGACCTAGCTCATAGTAGCTGGATGGCGTGACCGGGGACGGAAAATGGGGAGGTATGAGGGCTATGTCTGATTCAGCATACCTAGTGAAAGCCCTGAAGTCTTGCTGAGATCGTAATGTGATCAACCTACGCAGCGATTTCAACTTTGCAAGGTAATAAGTAGATTTGTGAGCTTATAGGTGTCGATAGACTCTCACCTTTTTGAGTATAATGTCTATCAGTTTTTTGCTAGAACAAGACAGAAAACGCCCTTGCCTAGACAATCTGCAAGGTACACAGGCGGCAATTTCATCATCAGGAATCCAATGTAAAGCTATACAGCAATGTGAGAGAATTCAGTAAGTGGCGACCTATCAGCACCTATCATCAATTCATACAATCTACGTTTATCAGCGTCAAAAAAGTTGAACTTGAAGAAAGTGAACCGCACAAGGAAGCTGCTTGAAAAAGTGAGTTGAGATGCGCCTCCTCGTCGACCAGGGGTGCACCATCGCGAGCTAGATTAATTTCAATGTTGGCAAAAACGAAAAGATGGTTATAGTGGTGGATGGTGTTAAACTGAATACCGCTAAGAAACTCGCTAAGATTCAACAAGCATTTATGTTCGAAACCAAGAGGAAAAGATGCCAAGGGAGAGGGAATATTGAAATTACCTAGAAAAATTAGGTTGTTTTATACTTGGAAGCTCTAGAAGTTGGAAGCTAAATCTATTGTGGAAGACAAGCATCCCTCTAATCTGTTTTTATATTGGAGAGGTGATGGATTGAATAAATTTTCAATATCAAATCTGACCTTAAATTTTTTTTTCAAAATTTTGCCGCGATATTAATTACCAGTTTTTATTTATAATTAGTATTACCTTCTTGATCATAACCCACTTCTTCTGTAGTTTGTAGCATCTCAACTGATTTATGGTATGCTATCTGCATCGCCTCGATTGTCTGTTTATGATTATCCAACATATTATCTTCAGCTATTTCCAGTTCAGATATAACTTGATGAAAGTTTAACATTTCCGGAGTCATTTCCGCTTCCTGTAATAAATAATAAAAAGGATTGCATACCTTTTTCACAGAAATAGAAAATTATTTGGATAAAATGTTACAGTCTTCTGGAAAATTTCGCCAAACTATATTCTACAATGTCACCAGTAAAGTTCACTTATATGAGAAGTTTTTCATTTATACATTTTAGAAAACTTCATTTATTTTGGATTTTTGTCAAAAGGTAAATAAATACAGTAGTGTTGCGATAATCCGGATCAATTAAAACCAGACCAATCCGGATTATCAAATTATTCGGATTACTAAGGCATTTTAAAGTCCGCTTTAATAGGTGCCATTTTCTTTGAAAAAGCCCACACAGTCAGGAAGGACGCTGCATATTGAATGATGCGTGTCGTGTGGACATGTAAAAACTACGTATCCACTTGAACGCAGTTACAAAATGACAAGTGAAAACCTGCCCAGGGACTCCGTGTCAGGTAGAATTCTACATATCGACAGGATTCTATAGATTCGGCACACTGCGCGGTATGCGATATGTTTCGATATGTCGAATTCTACATGGCATGGAGTCCCACCACTCTATGCTTTTATATTCAAGAGTCATGTAAATGAATTCGGATTACGGAATCAAGTGAAATCCGGATTACAGAGTACATCAAGGGAACGAGAATGCGATGCGGATTACAGAAGCATACGGATTATCGCGGGATCGGATTATCGCGACACTACTGTATTACTATAAAATAAGAAAACTTTAATCAATTTTTTGTTTCTGCTAAATAATTTTTTAAATGCAGTACTTAATGTACCAAAACTTACTAAAATGTATACACGCCTGGCAAGTCAATATCTTACAGGCCAATTTTGATGCAATAGAATGAAATGTCTAGAGAAAGTCTAAGGTTGAATAGAGAACGAAAACGATTTCTCCTGTTCCACATCCAGCATCCCCAGCGCTTCATGCTGGACGTGGAACAGGGGAAATCGTTTTCGTTCTCTATTTAATCTTAGAAATTTTCTAGACATTTCATTCTATCGCATTAAAATTGGCCTGTAAGATGTTGACTTGCCAGGCGTGTATATTAATATTAAATGATATCTTAATCAGAATTAGTTGTGAAATTAATAACAAATTATCAACTTACGTTAAACGATCTCAGCTGTGACATACCACCCTCATCATCCTGTTCAGATTCTGATCCCATATTAGTCGGCAAATCTCCACCTCCCAATTCTTTAACTCTATCTGCATATCTTAGAGTATTTAAACTATGCTCGCATGAACTAACACCTGGCGATATCATGGCAATCATGCACGTGCGCGAATTCGATCCTACAAAAGAATCCTTCAAGACCTGAGTTAGTTTGCTAACTCTAAATGGCAGATGTGCTCCGCGACGGCCCAGTGCTCTGATACATTCTTTTAATGCTAGAAGCGATTTGTTTATTTCAGCACCCTCCATTCCTGTTAAAATAAAATAAAAAATTTACCAATAATACAGTAAGTTAAACATGTATTTTCGTTAGTATTTGATAGAATATGACATTAGGTAGCAGCAATTGATCAAAACTGATTGGTGATTTCTGTAATGAAAAAAATGAATGACTAGTGTAATATATTATTATAAATACACCACAATTTGACAATGTCGCATTTTATTATTGCACACTTTTAAAATATGCATTTGCTTGGTTTAAGGACAGTACTATCTGGAATTCGTAAAACACGTCGATCAATAAACAAGTGCTGAAATTTGCGATCGTGTCGTATTTTATCAACTCCCAATTAGACCATCAAGATATTACAACTAGAATAATAGAGTTACTGTTTGAGCTTAATGATGAATGATGAAACAAATCTTACTTGTTTGTCGATTTGCTGAAGACGTATCAGCTCCTCTTTCGTTTCCAGCCAGATCTATAAGTGAGAATTTTCCGTGTATTTTTGACATATTATTGTTGGACCGTAAAAATATTTGAAATACTGCGTGAGATCTTGAAGAATTGGCATTAGCGAACGTTTGTCCAGACGTACGTGCCTGATTTCCTTTCTGGATAAGCTTGAGCACTTCATCCGTTGAATAAACAACTTTTTCTACGAGACCTACAACTTGGACTTGTTGCTTTCCGTCTTCCAATACTCTCAGTTTTGCTTTATTATTCAATAGATCAAAAACCTTTCCTGAGTATATTTCAAAAAAACTAGATGAGACAACTAAGTTGAGATGTCTATATTTGGGAGAGTTGGTCAATCGGAATACATCAGCTGAAACCATAGCATAAATTCCTTTTTGACAGTCTTGATCTTTGCCTTTAAAATCTCCTCCCATAGTGTGCGTTTTGCCTGAACCTGTTTGTCCATATGCGAAACAAGTTGCAAAGCCTCCTTCAAATATCGTTCTGATTAATGGCTGTGCTGTATACCTAAAAATATTCATTTAAAATGCATTTTTAAATCAAATAATCACTTACTTATACACTAAGTCATTAGTACAGGATTCATCAAACGCAAAATCAAATCTAAAAAGCTGGTTTTCCAAATATTTAGTTAGGTCTACTTTATTTTTGGGCTCATGGACAATCAATTGATTTTTACTGGGTATTGTAATGACATCGACCTCTTTCTTTGCTACTTCTTTTTTATTCAGAGGCCTCTTTCTAACGCACACAGTGATTAAATGATCCTCAATTATATCATTTTCGGTTATTGGCTTCATTTCAAGACCCTTTTGATACTCCCTGAAAGACAAGAAGTATTAGACTAAATACTAAATTTTAAATTGTCAGACAAAAGTTGTCCCAATTGAAGGAATGATATGAAAATTCAAAAAGCAATAATTTTTCTAATTGTCCTCATCATTCCTTTTCGACAATGTTTTGTGATTTGTATATAATTTAAATTTATATCCAATAACATGTTTTTGAAATGTGCAAATACCAATACTCAATTACATTATCATATTTAGGAGTTCCCAATGCGGATTTCCAGGATCCATTTTTAAAAAGGCCTCCTTTGCTTCCTTTTCTTCTGCTTGCCTCTGTCGCCTTTCCTCTCTATTTTTCTTCAGTTTTTCTACTTCTTTCACCACATTACTACGTCGAGGATTCTAGAATTGTAAGTATTAAGTAAGTAGAATTACTATTTTCATTTTATCATTATTATGAAGCTTACTTGGGAATTTGTTGATGGTTTACCAGTAGGAATATTCGTAATGGGTGGAGGATTTCCAACAAGGGTGTTATCAGCTGGAGAATTTATATGTGTATTTGTATTGGTGTTGGTATTGCTATTTGTATTGGGTCCATTGAAACTCGTTATCCGAGATTTGGGCATCATTCCTAGAAGGATTAGGTACCAGTAAAAAATTAGTTCTTGCTGTTTTAAACTACCCTAAATAAGCATTTAATGGAGTCGTTCTGGTTAAATATATGGTGACATTGTACTCACCATTATTTGATTTTGGGATTTGCCTATGTGTTGGGTTCTGCAAAAAGAAAGAAACTTTTAATAATCCATACTCAAGACCAGGTAACTACAAAATTTTTGTATAAAGGATTTCTCAAGATTTTATAGTCACATATTAAAATATAGTGAAAAATGTGAAGCAAACTGTGAAATTAGGTATATATAGGTACCAATACATAAATGTGCATGTGCTTGACAGAGAAAATGTTCAAGATATATAATTTTTTAAATACACACATGTTATTTTTTTTTAATATGAAAAAATCTGTCTAATTTCTGTTATATGAGATAAAGTATCTTCCTGAATCTGGAAACAAAAAATAGTAACAAAATTTGTATATCGTGAAATAAATCAAGGTGTTTAATGTCTTCCTGGAAATAGTGAATATGGTGGTTATTTCGGGTCTTAAATCCAAAGTCAATATAAAATTATACTAGAGAATATTGTGCTTGTTTGAAAATTTTTACATAAATGAATAGCTTGGAAACAGATCATTACAACTTTTAAAATTGAGACATGTGTGCTTGCAAAAGTATAAGAAAAAGGATCTAAAAACAGAAAAGAACCAGAAATACATATACACATAACAAAGACCAATATTGATTATATATCATATACCGATAACGATGTAGTTTTGGATGAAAACTGATTACTGTTAAACTCGTCGTCACTGCAACGGCCAGACTGAGCCATGGCGGCACTGATCTCCTCTTCTGAAGACCCAGAAGAATCCTTTTGGCAGCCAAAATAAAGAAATTTTACAATTAGTGGTTACTGGTCGGATCAATTATTGTAATTAGAAAGAAAATGCATTCGAGAACAACTGCAAAATTTCGAGCCAATTTATGTCATTATATTTATCACTTTATCTTGATACAATTTTCCAAAATTTGCATAAGGCGCGCTAAACCTGAACAAATTAAATATATTTATACATTGGACATTTTAGGAAAATGGTTATTTACTTGTGAACTCAATTGGTTTGTTATAGAGAACAGATTTGTATTAACTTATTAAATTCAAGTACCTACCTAATATTAATCCAGTGGATCCTTATGTAAGATTTAAAATTTAACTCGTAGTAAGAGTTTTTTTTCACATCCATAAGTTTTCTGCATTTTTACTGATTATTTATTAAACTATATATTGTTGACAATTCTCTCAGAACAGCTAGTTAGGTAATACGGGTTTTTTGTATTTTACATAAATATTTGTGAAAATATTGGTAGGTGGTAACCAATGAAAATTCAACAAAGGTACTAGAGGTTCTGCTTTTTTGGGGTCTGCTTATTAGATGCGAGACATGTCTGTCAACCCAGCATGACAAACCCAGCAAAATTCGAAAAATTTTAGTTGAGAATTTGTTGCAATTAATTCCCATTTTTTTGATTTTTTTACTCTTGCTGATCTTGAAAAAATGCAACTCTGCTAGGTAGCTTGATATCAAGCTAGCAGCGTCACCCGATATTCATACAGAAGTCTTAGGGTTTTTTTCTAAATACTATATCAAGTTAGCACTATCAGGGTATTAATGAAAAAAAAACGCGACAACTTTTTTTTTTGCACGACAAAAAGCGACAGATTATTCACTAAATAAAACTTTTATAGCAATATAGGGTAACGTTGGTACTGCTAACTTGATATCAAGAAAATAATAACCGGTATTTCCTCCTCTATTTTGAATAACAGCACGGCAGCGATTATTCAACGGGCCTTATCTCGTTTTCATCCAAATTATTCCATATTTGGACAATATCTCCAGTAAGCACATTCAAAGTGTTAGGAGGGTTAAGAAGTTCTTGAAAACGGCGGTAGATCATATCCCAGAAACCCTCAATTGGGTTAAGATCAAAACTGTTTGCTAGCCAATCCATAGTTTCAATTCAAACCTCATTAAAATAGAAATAAGTTAGTGGTGCGGTAATTTTGCTGGCCAAGATGTAGAGTCACGCACAAAATATCTGCAAAGGTAGCAGTGCTGAGCGGCTGAAAAGCCGAAACGACTCCCCCGAAATCTACAATCTACAATCTACAATTTTGCTGGCCAGTGTAGATAAAAAGCTGAAATTCTCAGCGATTCTTATCCCAATGAAGGACTACAATCCTTGAAAATTTCAGCTCATTTGGACTTATAGTTCCAGAAATAAAATCGCGTAAGCAATTTGGGGTAAATTTATCAAGTTTTTAATTTTCTGAGTGCCTTTTCTCATAGATTTCAGCTTCAAATCTCAGAATAATTTAGTGTATGAAGTTTGGGGGGTCCCGAATGATCATTAAGACACAAAATCTCAACATAAAAAATTGAAATTTCATCTTTTGTGTATATACCTACACATCCATATAGTAAGTAATACCAATACAAAATAGCTTCGTTCGCACAACGAAATTGGCAACCGGTTGCAAATCTGTTTCTTATCTGATGCATGATAAGTACAGTTGGTACTCACATAAAAAAATAATGATTATTGTTTTGGCAATTTTTGCTGCTCGAATAATGATCATTCTCAAATCTCAAAATCAGAATTATTCCAGGTTTTTCAACACATTTTGGAAACAATCTGAAATTTGATGTTTCCTTCATTTCAGCAAGGATTTATTGACCTCAATATTATTATACCTAATTTACTGTATTCCTTTTACCCGTTGAGTGGCTCTGAGCTGCTCAATGTCAAAAGCTTGAACGTTCCTTTTAAAAGTGCGTTAAGCAGTCGCTCATAGTGCATCTCCCTTTTCCCTGATGCACCAAATTTGTGGGGGATGCAAAAAGCCCTTTTAGGCCCAGTTATACAATCTTGGTTCAAAACAGAGTTCAGCTGAACTTGACTGGTACTTGAACTTCCCCATTTGAAATGCATTGCTGTCAAAAATGATAGAATTTGATTAAAAGCTGACAGCAATGTATTTTAAATGGGAAAGCTCAAGTACCAGTCGAGTTCAGTTGAACTTTGCTTTGAACCGACATTGTACAACTGGGCCTTAGGTGATGACGGTAATGTTTATATTAAAAAATAATGATAAAATCTGAATTGTGTGTTTTGGAGTGACTCCGAGGAGCTCGTTAGGTGTAACTTGATGTATAAAAGGAATACAGTAATTGATGAATCATCACTATGAAGTAATAAAAAAAAGGGACCAGGGTAATGTAAACAAGCTTGATCCTTTCTTTTCTTATCTATTTTAATAATATTCGTCATTCGGAATTCGGCAGTAGACTATTTACCATGGAAAAAAAAAATAATTTCGAGTTCAGTAAGGTTCTTGACCAAAATGTCTAATTATTGATTAGTGTAAAAATTATTAAATTTCGTAAGTACCAACAATTATTTATAGGCTTCTGTTCCTGCCCTTCAGTCAAGCCACAGGTCCTAGAAAAGTCCCTTTATGCACTTCTAAACTTTCCAAAGTAATTTACCTTCTGTTTTTTTTAGGGGTGGTAAGCTATACTTCTAGTAAGGGTTGAAAAAAAAACATAAAAACATGTTCTTTTTTGTTTTAAACTGTTCAAAACACCTAAGAAAAAACATGTTTAAAACACCTCTGACCTCAGGTACTACAATAATCATGCTCCTGTCCTCTTACCTGTCACTCTAACGCTTCTCAATTCAAAGTCCGTCGATTTCAATCTGATACTCCAAAGGAATGTGACGTGGATGGTGGCTCCCTACATTAGAACGCCAATGGTCACCTGACGTCAAACCTGTTTTTGCCATAAGCTTCACCCCCTCGATCTTCATACGGAGAGTGTCAGATTAAAAACGACGGACAATAGCTTTATTCATTTGCACGAAAATTACACCAAGCTGAACCAGAACTGGGTTCGGCTTGTGCAAGCACCAAACGAAGTCACTTGGAATGCACGGAGAAGCCAGCTTAAGTGTAGAATGGGTGCAAGGTGTATGCGTATGGCGATGGCGGGGCTTCAGTAGGGAGACGACGAGGATAAACAAATAAGTGTGGTGTATAAATTGTCGCTTGGTGCTAATAAACAAACAAAGCTATCATCAAATGTTATGTTTTGTTATTCTAGTATTATAGCTGCGTACGAACAGACCATTTTCTGACCTAAGTTAGCGTTTTCGAGTTCTATTTGTCCATAAATTGATATCACCTAATCAATAACTGTTGTTAAACTTTGGAAAAAAAATGTGAAAATGCAGAGCCAAAGCAGAAATAATCAAATTAACGATTAACCCTCGAATTAACCCATTAAAAAAAGATTAAAAAAAAAAACACTGTTTAAAACATGTTTTTAACTTTTTAAAACAAATGTGTTTGAAACACCTTCCTCTGTTCAAAACATGTTTAAACCAAATGTTCAAATCATTTTGTTTTAAAGATAACAACCCTGCTTCTACTTGAGAAAGTTTGGCATTGGGCTTTGAGCATTTGGCTGTAAATATTTTCAATAACTTCCTCTTTAAATGATTACCATTTTTTACCAATTGAAGTTGCGTTTCACTGACATCCAGGACAACAATTTGTGGTTTGATTATTTCTTTTCGGTAATTGGTGTCCCCTGGGGAAGCCGTCCGCCATAATAGGTTAGGATCCCATTTGTTGCACGATTATACTATTTAAGGTAAGTGTAGCAGTGGGGCACTACCGAATGCCGGTGAGAAATGGTTGAATTATGATTTGCTGTTGGATGTCAGCTGTTCAGTGTGATTCCAAGTGGATTAAGCCTACTGGGTCATATAAGAATAGCCGAATGCTAAAGAACTTTGCCAGGCAAACCTTAGGATTTAGATTTCTGAAAACTTTGAAAAGTTATAGCTTTTTTTCTATTATAGATAGAAAGTGATTCTTATTCTAATAGAGGCGACATTTTTTTCTGCACGACAAAAAAGCGACAAATTATTCACTCACACACAAAAAAATCGGTTTACTTAGGATAATTGAAGAGCACTAAAATCTGCAAGATTCAGTGCTTCAATATTATGAAGGGTGCGTTTTTGACAGAAAAGAAACGCAAAGTGTGTTCCAAAATAAACATATTGGATTGCTAGAATTGCAATTGGAAGTTAAGATTCCTACATCAGAAATTTTGACGGAAAATGGAATATCCAGAGATTTTTCCTGCCGGTGAATACGGGAGGCGATAAAAGAAGAAAAATATTCAAAAAGGTATGGCTAATAACTCTTAATTAGGCTTGGTTTATTCATCTTTTGATAAACTGTCAGGTAATTCAATCTGAGGAATAAAAACGCAATTTGTAATCCCATTGGTCGGCCAGTTATCCGCCGACCAATAGGATAAGAGATTAGCGAATTTATCTTGTAGACAGTGTTATCAGTAAGTTTATCTGAATATGGATAAACCGGTCCTTACAGTTAAAAATATATATCATCATCAGCTCAAAAATGTATTCTATATTGTGACTATCGTTTTTGTTCGCGCATTGCTCTGTTTGATGAACAATAAATAAACTGCTGGACACTTGAACTTACACATACAGATTTTAAAGCAAAACTGAATTTTATCGCCCCGTTTATCGTAACCCTATGGTCCTATGAGAAATTTACGTCAAGCTTTATCCGCAAAAAACAAGCTATTTAAATCCACAAACCGCGTTAAAAAAACTTTATTCGTGTCGAAAATATGGAATTTTGAATTTGCTCTAAAAATATGTATATGTGAAAGTTCGAGTGTCCAGCAGTTTAGATGAAAAAGTTGACTTTTTGAAAGTTGGTTCCTCTAATTATCTGATCAATAAAATAACCATAGATTTTCATGCATAATTAGGTACCTTGGTTGAAAATAAAAATAATACATAATAACATTTTGCTGGTAGCTTGAATGTCAGGCTGGTATAATCGCATTTTTTCGAAACCGTAAAAATTAAAAATATCGTAAATAATTAGCAACAAACTCCCCACTATTTTTTTTATTCCGCTGGGAATTTTTTTTCTGCTAGTTTGATATCAAGCTGGCAGAGTCGAATTTTTTCGAAATCGGCAAGAGTAAATAAATCAAAAATATGGTAAATAATTAGCAATTAAATAGCAACAGATTCTCGACTAAAATTTTTCGAGTTCTGCCAGGAAATTGAAAATATTTCTGCTAGCATTATTTCAATTTCGGCAAGAGTAAAAAAATCAAGAATATGGTAAATAATTAGCAACAAAATAGCAACTAATTCTCCACTAATTTTTTTTGGAATTCTGCTCGGGTTCTCATGCTAAGTTGACAGACATGCGAGACGCTGCACTGGGTACAAAAATAAAATGACACTGAGATATTCGAATTAAAACCAAGCCCTCAGCACAAATAGTAATTGTAATGCTTCAAATACAATGCAATTATTTTTTTGTGCAATATCGGTGGAATTTGGAAATTTGTTGTTTTGGAATATGTAATTGGATTCAAATAGGAAAATAGACAAATCAAAAAAGGTGGGATTTAGAAATTGGATATCTAAATTCAAGGCACTGATTCATTTCGAACTAATTGTTTTGTTTAGAAAAGATATAATTGCATTGCACACCATTGCGTGTACCTATAAAGTAAACTTCTTAACAAAAACTAAACTGTAAGGTTGAATGAAAGTTGAATAAAATTTTGACAAAAATTGGTTCTTTTCAAAAATAACACTTACCCTCTGGAGCTTATTAAACTTTGGCTCTTCACCAGGCTTCAAAATAATTACTTCAGGATTTAGAGATTCTATAGCGGCCATGTCGACTTCTTTGCCTTTTGTTTCACCCTGCTCAAACCATTCCACCGTTGCACATCGCTGATCATTGTTAACTGCAGCAACAATGGCTGAATGTACTCGTCCTATAAAAGAAAAAGTATTTATCTTAAAAAAAGGTTTAAATAGGTACAGATACAGAATATGTAAATCCAATTTTTTAAATACAGGAATCCAAGCATAAACCCTAGCTAAAGGTTGTTTTTTTTAAATAATAAAATATTCCAGGGTTTTTGAAGATAATACTGGAAAGCATACTAGTATCCACACAACTCTACGATATTTGGTAAAGAATTTAAAAAAAAGTTTGTCCTGCAGTAATAAATACTCCTTATTTACAGATTTTAATAATTAGGTATCTATTTTTTCGGTATGTATCATAAAATGTTGTTTTAATAAATAGGTACACAGATGTACATTTTGTGGCCCATTTTATATCTCTAGAAATAAAAATGTATTTTGCTGCTTTGTGATTATTGATTGATAAATCATCAAAGTTATATCCAAGGATATGTCTAGCGTTTTTAAGACTACACATGTTAAAAAGGCATGCGATTTGGGAGCATACAAAGCCTTTAATAAAAGGATCAATGCATTATTTGTATAGATATTATTAAAAAAAAACAATTTAAATAAGAAATGTTATTATGTAGGTATATTTTCATAAGCAATATTATTTCCGAAAAAAAAATTAAATATTCACTTCTTTGACAAGTGTTATCGTTCGTTAATCTTTGTTTGTGGACTGTAAGTATATTGATTACTATTTATTGAAAAAAAAAAAAAATAATAGAACTTTAATTTGTAACTTAAATTATTGAATTCCGATAAAATCATTGTAATAATGGCGTCTCTAATCCCTTTATTGATTGCCAAGAGCATGGACAGTGTTGCCAACAGTATTTTTTTAATTCCGTTAACTTTGCTGTTGGTTTCCGTCAAAAAATGGTTTAACGGATTTTAAATCCGTTAAACCATTTTTTTTTCCGTCAACAAAATCCGTCAGAATAAAAAATGCGAAATGCGCTAAACAAATGAAATGTATTATATATTTATGTTATGTTGAGCGGTAGTCAGTAGCAGTGATGTGCCTGTAGACAATGTCAACGTAAACAATTGATTGTCTACGTGTACACAATTCGAATTGTTTACGTGGGCATTTGTCTACACATTGTCTACATGTGACGTAAACAATAAACTTATTTTAGAAAGTTTAAAAAAAGTTCCAAAATTACTAATACCTAAGTAGCTTATACCTATCACTTTGATATCAGCATTCACTGATTATAAATATGAGGAAAACCGATAATAAATTAAAAATCATTTTCGAAAAGGAAAGTGTGAGGTTAGAATTAGACGCCATTTATATTATTTTACATTGTTGGCACGTTGTCTACAATCACTCTGGTGACAAACGTCTACTGACCTTTGTTATTATGCGTTTAATAGTGTCATTTTTAAACGTCTACATTAGTTGTATTCCTTTCAAGTGCTTGAAACACTCGAGCTACTCACTTCGGTGCTTAGTCGCCCCCGATTTGCAGGGAACATATGCGGGGTGCAACAAACACTTTTCGAAAGGAATAAGCGCGTGAAGCCCCGGAGCTGTTCCGGAGCTCCTCCTAGGTGTGAAAGGAATACAACTAATGTCTACACGTAAAGTAGACAATGAAAGTCTACGTGTAGATGCACATCCCTGGTCAGTAGTGCCAACGAATAACCAAATCATGCGGAGCCAACGACATTGATGACAGTGCCTATGTTCCGATATCAACTGTCAGTACTGAATTTACTGGACGCCGTTCCGATATTACACTGGATTCAGTCGATTCAGTACTGAATGACTACAAAAGTACGCTGTTGAAATCGGAACGGCAAATGACAGTAAAATCCGCACAGTAAATCCAGTACTGGCAGTTAATATCGGAACATAGCCAGTGCTATTTGACTTTAGACGTTTTCAGAAACCAGCTGTTTGTCATTCATCTTTTTTCAATGAGCACCATTGAAAAAAGACAGACAACATCAGCTGGTGATCTGATCAGGCTAGTCGGATCATCGTTTCCGGCAAGGCTTGTTTAGAGACCCAAAATAGCTTGAATCGCTAAACAACCAGTTCATTACATTTACAGAACATAATTAAGGATTTTCAAACGGAAATTTAAACCGAATTTTCGCTACGAACGTAGTTCATCCCAGAACGAACCTAGTTCGTCTGTTGACGTCATGACTTTGGACGCTGTCTAGTAGCTTCGTCCATGCTTTCGACGAACTATGTTCAATATGACGTCATGAGTTTCTCGCGAAAGCGTTTGTGTTCATGAAATCATGGAAGTAGTTCGTCGCGAAAATTCGGTTTTAGTTTCCGTTAAAAAATCCGTCACTCGTTGAAACTGTCTTTTTTTTCCGCTTCCCTTCACCAAAATCTGTTAGATATGACGGAAAATCCGCTAAGTTGGCAACGCTGAGCATGGAGGTCTATTTTTTCCCTACTCTTTTTGTTTTCGACCAATTGGGTGGATGGCATTCCTGGTTGCCTATTCGTAGTAGTGAATAGGGTCGGTAGCATTTCTGTGTTGCCTATACGTAGTATCACAGGGAAATGACTGCAACGTCGCGTATGGTGCTATTTTGTTATTGGGTTATGTGTTTCTGTGTATTGCTTTCATTGTGTATTGTTGCAATTTAGTATTTTTATGGGCATTATTGACGAAAAAGTGGATAGAAACACACTAATATATTGCCCATATTTAGTTGATACCTGTTCCTTTGTGCTTTGATTGCAAATTTTTAGCAAATGGGTACAGGAGCAAAAATGAAGGTAAGGTAACGTAAAACAATAAAAACAATATTAATATTTGTCTGCAAGAGCATAGGTCTCGATATATTACCTAAGATATTTAAACTTGTTCCAGATGCCATACTGTGTTCCTGGGTGCAAATCGAACTATTAGGAGTTCCTTAAAAACTGAAGAAATGCAAACATTTTTATTTCCAAAAAAAATCTGAATTGCAAAAAATGTGGATGAAAGCAATACACCAAGATAATTATACTCGAGATTATACAATAACGAAAAATTCTGTGGTGTGTTGTAAACATTTTGAAGAAACCGAAATAATTAGATTTGAAACAAACAAGGATAAAGGCGTAGTTCGAGAGTTCAAACTGAAACGTCCAACTCTTAAAAGTAGGTACCTCTTATTTTCGAAAATCAGCTCGAGTATTTGAATGGACTTGCCTTCCGAAAAAATCCCGAAGAAAGAAAAAGTTAGATTTTCAAAAGACATACTGAAACATAGGCATATAACACTTTAGACTCTAGAAATATATTCAATTATTTACTGTTCTTATTTACACAAATAGTTAAATTATTCATTGAATTACTGTTTTTGGCCCTTTAGTACAATAAATTATGCATTTTTTGTGATTCATATTAATAAAATAAAAAATATATATTTATACAAACAAACACCACCAGCACCACTTGGCGGTAAGATTGCGGCGTTGCCTTTTTAACTTCATGGCTTGTTAGATGTAGGAGGCTGTGGTAGTATGCAACAACAAGCATTTGTTCACAATTTTATTATGCTAAAATAAAAAATAAAACTGAATACATTTTTGTAATTTAAATGTGTGATTCAATAATCAAATATGTATGTACTGATGCAGCCAAAAATCTTCAAAGAGTAGGAACTTTTTATTAAACCTTTGGATTCAAATTCAAGTATCGAGTCCATATCTCAGAGGCCTTAATCCAAAATCCAAGTAAACCGTCTCATAAATGTATTAGGCAGAAAAACAACCTATAAAAGGATAAATGTTTCGACGGAGTTAAACATCATCAGACCTATAGATAAGGTTATTACCTAAAATTTGCAACAGCTATCAAAAAAAGAAAAACAGCCAAACATAATTTTGTATGTTAAAAAACAGATAACAAAAGACAAGACAATCGATGCAACATCACTATATAAATGAATGATAATATGATGAAGAATCAAGAGCCTAAGATTTGTTGGGTTCCTTTGCCTTGAACAGTTCAACACTCAACAGCCACCCAAACTGTAAAAATCAAATCATCGACCTTGTTTCTTGTCGAATTTCTGTATTGCGTCAACCGTCAAGCAGCAAACCCTAACGCTAAGCAACATCAGTTCAGCTCTCGGAAACCTGATTAACGTAGATTGTACGAACTGAGCAAGAACTAAGCGCCGAATCGGCCCCACTTACTGGATCCTCGGCGTTGGCGACGCTTCTCAACCATTCTCTTGATGATAACTACTTTGCCACCTGTATACCTCGCAAATGTGTTTCCCTTAGTTTAACAAATATTTCATCATGATTCTCAAGAAGAAAAAAGGCTGTTGGCAACTGCAAGCTCAAAATATGGAAATTGGCATTTGAACCTGTAAATTTGAGAAAATCGTGTTTTTCATGAAAATCATAAACCATAAACTTCAACTAACATGTTCACCTCTACGTTCACTATGTCCATTTGAGAATATTTTGGGAAAATCCTTTTTTTCACCATCCGTAAACTGCGAAGGAATGCTTGAGCATTGGACATGGGTGTGGAACTGTTCTATCTAAAGGTGAATAACCTGAACAGCCCCTTATTCTATTTTTAGTTATATGTATTTGCCATAAAATATTTTCCTTATTATAGGTCATTGTTTCTGTTTATACCTGTTTGTAGTTGGTCTCTAAATAAGTTGAAAATTTGCAAGTAAATTTCTTTAGAAATGAATGAAGAAATGCATTTTAATGACACTGTCTAAAATTTTTCACCTTTTTCCACTCAAAACCCATCCAAAATTAAAGTAGATACAGGTTCAACATAAAAATAACCAGAATTGGAGCTAATAGTCATACAGGTCCTTTTGTAGACATATTTTTGGTTCAAAATTTTAATAAAAACCACAAAATGGTAAAAAATTATCCTAAAAGTGTTTCCTTTTGGCTTTTTCTTTCGAATTATCAAGAACATGTCCCAAATTGCCTCAAAATCCACAAAATGGCTTGATTTTTTTCTTCGATTTTTCCTAAGAGTGCTTTCATTTGGCCTTTCTCTTGAAATATCAAGAGAAAATTTTCACTTTATCATTTCCTGCGTTTTTCCACTTCTTAAACCAATCAAAATCCATTCAAAGTAGACTTGAAATACCAGAAAAAAAATTATCCAAATTGGAGCTAAGTAATAGTAATAAAAATCCTTTCTTAGCAGTACATATTTTTGTTTCAAAATTGCATTAAAAACTAGCAAAACTACAGAAGTCGAACAGAAATTATGAAACCTTGGAAGATTAATTATTGGAAATTAACAAATTTACAAATCAATTATTACTGCACATGCTTTAGTGTATATTTTTTTTTTGTCCTAAAAATGCTTGGTTTTGGCTTTTTCTAATGAAACTGGGACATCAAAAAAAAATCAAGTAGAAAATGTCCAAAATCAAAACCACAAAATAGTCTAAATTTGGGCTAAAAGTGCTTCTTTTGACTTTTTCTGCAATCTTGTCACATTTTTCTCCTAGTGATTACCCCCCTTCATGATAGTATAGGAAGCCCTCTGCTACAAGAAATGTTAAGAAGGCTCAGGTACATTATATTACCGTTATAACTTCTCTAATTTCCACAAACAGAAGTGTCTGCAAACTATTTGCTTGAAATAACTAAAATTATATATACCCAGGTTTAGCTATAAAATTGTTTGGGAAATCATAGAGGCAATAAAAATTGCTATGTCAGAAAATAAAAGCCAGTGCCTTTCACCCTAGAGGACAATTCCTCTTATTTGTTGCGCATAGTAAATTTAAAAATAGACTTGGTATTTGTAAATGCCATTTTCATCTATCCTATATATAAATGGCATAAAATCCAAGAAAAGGACTTACTCAAATCATTTATATATAATCTAGATTGCAGAAATATTAGACATTAATGAAATTGTTAATCAACATAAAACAGGTTGTCTTTTTTTATAAAAGTTTGAATTTCCTGAACCTGAAATCATTTTTTGACCATAGAAAACTTGAAAATAGGATTGGTATTTATTTAGGTATTTGAAAATACCATTTTAACTTCTCTATATAAATAGCCCAATATCACAGACATAGGTTTGAGCTGGGATTTGAGGTTAAGATTTATTGCAACACAAATACATTCATAAAATCGCCTAGCCCTCATTAAAACTGTAATAAATTTATAAAAGTTTTGACTTCCAGTCTTTGCCAATGTACTTGAATGTACATAAAAGGATGAACAATGTCACTAACTAAACCTAAAGTAATTAAAGTTGTTTTTGCTGTGTTTCTCATCACCTTTTTTGTACAGTTACTCAAAGATAATTTTATCAATTTCAATGAATTAATACTGGCTATTATCTACTTTTGCCCTTCGAGACATGTCGAAGAAACAGTTAAATATTCGAATTTTTGTATGTATTCACTTAAGTATTGATAACTGCCAGTTTTTTAGCTATAACCCAGCAAATTTACTTTACAGATTACTCATTGCTCTGAGACAATCTGTTTTTCTGTTAGTAATAAACTAAAATAATCCTTCAAGGTATTTACCATGTAGGGATTTTTTTTGGTTGCAGATAAATAATATGGGTACATTGTAGGTTGTAACTCACCATCCGTTCTTTTTATGTTAATACTGAGTCCGACTTGCAGATATCCAGTTGGCATTTCCATGATTAATATCCGGTGACAACAAAATGATTAGGTTTTTTCCAGTGAAAAGCCAAAATAAATACATATAAACTAACTAAATGAGATTTTTTCGTTTTGTAGCAGCTAGCACTTCTATTCAACGGACTTGCCGACTGACACAATCCATGACATGACATTCCCGATCAACGCTGAATGGATGGCGAACGAACCGAAGACAAAAAAAGACAGAAGACGCGCAAAATCATATAATGGAGCTCGCGCCAAATACAAATTTGAATATTTCATGGTAGTTGGTTGTTAAGTATTATGTGTGCTTATTCTGTAACTTGATCGTTGCGTAAAGATTAGTTAACGAACGATCGTTTTCTAACGACAGGCTTCGATAGTCGTTTATAAAGTCTATTTATTAACTGTGGTTGATCGTTAGGCTGTGTCATTGGGAAAGTTTTTAACGATCCGCTGAGTTTGAGCTGTTCGCTTTCCGGTATTTGTGGTGATTATTGAGAGCAGTTAAAACTTCAATAAATAATGGAGGTAAAAAGGTGTCAAAAAGGCAAAGCAAAGCCACGTGCTCCTAAAACAATAAAAGAGCAGATTAAATTTATACCTGAACGGTAACCACTTTATGTAGAGCCCTGCTGACTGCCGGTTGCGATAATGAGCAATTGGAATCATTTCCAACTGATTTCTGATAGCTGCCATTGTCGAAAAAATGTAGGGCTGAAAAGAATTGGATCACTGGTGGCTGGTGGTACTTTGGTACGCATCACAGCAATATTCAAATCAGGTTGGATTTGACGAAAAACGTATTGGGATTATGGGTTACATGTCTGATGTCTGTCTAATCGGTAGTTTTCCTTCGGCGTCTTGTCTGGTCCAATTCCTCCACCGCTTCATTCAAAATATTCTCCATCCTTGCAACAATATCGATACTACAGTATTGTTTCACTTTCACATGGATTCACCTCTGATCTCACTAACAGCGATAACCCCAATAGCTGCCGTTAAAGAACGATTAAATTAAATTTATAGGTTATCAATAGCTGAATATCGATCGTGAGGTGATACAGAATAGGGCAAATCTTTTAGTAACGACAATCGTTCGTAGTCATCGTTAAATAACTATAATTCGTAACGATCAATCTTTATACGCAATGTTACAGAATAGGTCCGACCTTTATTTACCGATTTTCATTATTTGTGATCGTTAAGACTTACAGAATAAGCACCTTATTGATGTAACAGGTTACTTTATTTACATACTTTCTGAGATAAGTATGGATTCATGAGAGAATCTATTTTCCTTTTTCCTGGAGTACCTATCGAGTACCGGGATGAACTAGATATCCCGACTTCATCGAAAAATTAGTGGAATTAGAGTAGTATCCAGCTATTCCAGCACAGTTTTTGGAACTACATATACCTAATCATGTGGTATGTATACGGTATAACAGTTCCTGTGTATATTTTTTTGTTTAATGTATCCCAGAGTAGCTAAGTAGCTGTGATTTGTTCCTTGTTATTTTTGAAGTAAAACTATTAGGTATTATATTTAAATTTGACAGGTTTAAATATTTTCGACCAATAGAAAAAAATCCGCAAAATAAGCAATTCGCGGTTATGAGTACGTTGCTTAAGGCTGCGTTCTGATATTTGAACGACAAGACAATGAAGAGTGATTTAAAAAACGCGTCACGGAGAAATTCCGTTACTCGAGAGAGAAGAAAGATATAACGTAAAGAGACTGAGAAAGACAGCTATTGATTGACACAGACCAAGCGTATAAGCGCAAAGAGAATTGCCTATTATTGACAAGCGCTGAAATTGACACAAACCAAGGATTATAAGCGTAAAAAGAATTCAAGGATAATACACACTACTAAGGATTGTGTATAATAGGCCCCTTGCATCAAATTTTTTTATTGCTGATTTCGATAGTCCATGAAAAATAAGTCAACACGTGTTTTTTCTTTTTCTTCTTAGTCAAAAATTGACGGAGATACAACGCTTTGAAATGTCCTTCCGACGTCATAACTTAGGTATAATACGTTGTGAGTTGTGACGTCGCACATGCTCAGTATATCTATAATATATAAAAAACTTAATATTTGTATAACTTCCGGAATAATCATATTTGGGCGGAATAAAAAAAAGTAACGATTTTTTTTCGATTTCCTACAGTTTGCAATAAACAATAATCAATTTAATTTTCCATGCAAGTACCCTATTAACATAATAGGCAAAGAGGAAGATGAGAACGAGATCTAAAAAAGAATTGTTTTAGAATGTTGATTAATATAGTAAAACCCAAATATGCATAAAGCAAAAGAACACGAAATCATAACCTGTGGTGCAAACAGCCTACGTCAAGGCAAGAAAGGACATGCTGCGACGTCACAATTGGTGATTTGGCGTGGTGGCGGGCTTCAGATTTGTTCCACACAGACCTTATGAGGATAGGCTATCGTAAAAGTAGTGTGTGTATTATCCTTGAAGAGAATTACCTATTAGTTGTATTCCTTTAAGAGTTTGAAACACTCGAGCTACTCGCTCCGGTGTTCAGGGGCCCCCAATTTGCACGGAACAGATGCGTGGTGCAAAAAACACTTTTCGAAAGGAATAGGGGCGTGAAGCCCCGGAGCTGTTCCGGAGCTCCTTCTAGGTGTGAAAGGAATACAACTATTATTGACAAGCGTCGATATTATTGTGATGTCACTATAGATGCTCGTCTCCCTTTTGTTATATATAGGGTGTTTGGCGGAGGGTGAGCCAAACTTGGTGGGCGTATAGATAGGCCCATTCCGAAGATATTTTGTTAATATACTAATGCCCTTAAGATCCTCGTTTTTTTTATATCATTGTTTTTGTATTATTCTCAAGAATTTTCAAAAATTGACCTTCTAATTTCTGTGACCTTTTAACTTTCTGATATTATCAAGGATACCCTACAGACCAAAAACACACGCTACAAACTTTTGCATAAATATTTTAAAAAAAGTTACAGAAGTTAAAAGGTTTATTTTTGAAAATTCTTGAGAACAAATGATGGAAAAAAAATGGAGCTTAAGGCCACAATTGCATTAATAAAATATCATCGAAATGGGCCTATCTATACGCCCACCAAGTCTGGCTAACCCTCTGCCCAGTGTTGCCAGAGTTTTTCGACGACATTCCTTCAACTCAGTGGCTAAAACCCTTCATATCCTTCAAAACAGTGGCGGGGGCCGGCACAACGACATATTTTACCAAAAAAAAAAAAAAAAAAACCATAACATGAACGAAATTCTTTTAATAAAAATGAAAAAAAAAAAAAACAAACAAACAAAATACGCATAGCTTGTCCAATGTCCATATTACATCTGTGTATTGTTCCATGTATTTATTAATGTAGTTCAGGGTGCCAACATTATTTTATTTTTCATAATGCTAATGCTGATTTATGTTGCGTTTGAAGTTTTTCGGGTGTTGTCACCCTGAACACGGAAAAATACACAGATGTAAAATCTGTTTTTTTTTTTAAAGATAATTCCCCAAGTCAAAAATTTAGTAACTATGTTGGCAACACAAGCCTTTCTACATAAAAAATTTGAAAGCATTGTGAATCAAACGTCAAATTGTCGAAGCAATGTCAAAAAAGTGCGAAATTAGCAGTTATGAGTACTAGGCTTAATACGGGCATCGGCATGAGGCACACATACCCTGCGTTTTTATTCTCATCAAACTTTACCGATGGATCCACCATTCTATGTCGGTCATTGTCATTTTACAATCACTAAACAAAGATAGGTAGCTAACTCATCGGTGAAGTCACCGATTAGAAAAAAACGCATGAGGCATTGACGCATGACGCATTGACGCATGACGCAGTGGCGTAGTCGAAATTACCGTTTCGTATTTTTTCTCATGCAACTTATTAATTTATTTTAATAAATATTAAATTTGTTAGTGAAATGATTGGAATGTTGATTTGTTTTGTTTTTATTTTATTTTACTTTTCAATAAACACGAGAATACGAAGGGTTTTTCTTTTTATAAGGTTTTTTATTACGAAAAACTAAATACTAAATCGTTTTTTAAAATGTGACGAAAAACATTCTTACAGAATAACTTAACCTCATTCTTTTATGTTGACAACCAAATTTCTTCAACTGCCAATTCAATGTTGCCAACTCTAAAATATAACATTTTATGATTATTATTTAAACTATAAATTTTTGTTTTCTCAACACCTTGTCCTAATGATCATAAAATGTTATCACTCCAAAAAAAAATAATAATCAAAATATTCTTATTCAACTAATACATTCTTATGTTTTTCAAATTTAATAGAATTTAGAGCTTTTGTAAAAATATCTGCAACATTATTCTCAGTACATATATAATCTATTTTAATCAATCCTTCTTTCACCTTTTCATGAATAAAATGGTACCTAACATCTATATGTTTTGATCTTTTGTTAAATTGTCCATTTTTAATGATACTGATTGCACTTTGATTATCTACATTCAAAAGAACAGTTACATTTTTCAAAAACATGCTTTCTAAAAGAACTTTTAAGTACAGTACCTCTTTAACACTTTCAGCTGCTGCAATAAATTCAGCCTCTGTACTGCTCAATGCTGTCACTGGTTGTTTTCTGGAACACCAACTTATTGGACCATTACTGTAGAATACTACATAGCCTGTAGTGCTTTTTCTTGTCTGTTTGTCCCCTGCAAAGTCACTGTCGCTGTATGCTGTTAACACTGCATCTTGTCCATTCTGATGATAAATAATTCCATTTGTTTTTGTTTCGTTCAAGTATCTCAAAATTCGCTTTACATTGTTTACATCTACCTTCGATGGATTTTCCAGATTTCTGCTGCAAAAACCAACTGCATATGCTATATCCGGGCGAGTCTTGTTTGACAGGTATAAAAGACTGCCCACTGCCTCACGATAAGGAAATTTTATTTCTTGTTTTTCTTCAGTGGTAGATTTTTCTTCATAGTCTGTGATTGGTGTATTTGCTGGTTTTGCATTCTCCATTTGGAATCTTTCTATCACACTTTGAGTGTAGCTCTCTTGGTCTAACTTGATCCAGTTTTCACCTTTTGTTATTTTTATCCCCAAGAAATTGTCAATATTTTCAAACTTCTTCACCTCAAAATTTTCTTCTAGTTTGTACAATAGGTTGTCTA